TTTAGGCTATAGTAGTTAATATATAGATAGAGACTCCTATCCTTCTTCTTTATAAAGAGGATTAGAGCTCCGGCTAGAGATATACTAGGCCTAATCCATCCTCACGTAAGGTTCTTTTCGATATATTCTCGGAGGATCTATAGCTCGGGTTCTAATAGAGGGTATATAGGTCCGTATAGGGGTTATTAACTATCTTTAAGATTAATAGTAAGGTCGGTAGATTAGTATTAAGGTAATTTAGACGAGTCGATTGCTAACACGATATATTAGTATATTTTATACTAATATAGTAGGTTTTCGTCTACTTTAATACTAAGCTCTCTATTTTAAGTAAGTAAGAGGATATAGATAGTAGAGATTACCTTTTCGTAGTCCTTCTAGAATTATTCGTCGTTAACTAGCTATACTAGGTTCTATTATAGTAGGTATATACGCTAGCCAGCTATTTTCTAGATAAAGTCTAGTTTCGGGTTATATTTTTCGAGCTATAGTATACCGAGGATCATGTCGAAGGGACTATCTACTATGATAAAGGTTAAGTAGTAGGGTTTCCACTTCCCCCCGCTGTCCTAGATACTATATTTAATAGTATAGGTACCCTATAATTTAATAGGACTATCAATACTATAGAAGGTAGTATCTATTAGTACTTAAATATTAATATTAAGTTCTCGTGCTTATTAAGTCGATATAACGTTAGTAGCTAAACCGCTATTAAGTATTACGGTCTAATATTATCCACGAGGGACCTCGATAGGCCTAGCCTATAGTTTAATATACTAGTTAGCTAGTTATCCCTCTATTTTAGTTACGCCTATAAGTCGTAAGGGTTCCTTATAGATAGTTAGTTTTTTATATTATATACCGGGTAGTTAGGCGCGATATATCCTAGCTACTAGTACTTATAGTATATAACTAACTTAGTATCTATATTAGTATTTGGTAGTTTCCCTAAGCGGTACTCGGGTGCTATATAGTCTATCCTACTATAGGTATAGTAGATGACTTTAGGTCGTTTATACGAGTCGTTTCTCGCGTCTTAATATATTAACTAGTAGAAAGATCCGTAGTACGGGCCTCGTCTTCTCGAGTTCGTAGAGTAGTAGTACCTATAAGGTATTCCGCGCGATCTATTACTAAACCGGTCCTCTTTAGACGATTTCGTATTAGATTAGATTAATAGAGATAGTCGTGCGCCTATACGATATTAGTTATTTATTATACGCTAGTATCGTTCTATAAGATTCGCGAGTACCTAAAGATTAGTAGAGATAGACGTTATAAGGTCGATACGTTCCTTTACGCTCGGGTTAAGGGACCTTTTAAAGTCGTCGTATTATTAAACTATATAATCTTCCTTAGCTTCTCTCTAAAGAGGTTAGAGGTATTTAAGGAGTTATAACGGGGATTATCTCTCTTACTATTAAGTCTTAAAGATATAGCTCTAAGTCTATTCGCGTCGCTCGGCTCTATCGCCGAAGTATTAAAGAAGGAATTCAGTGAACGTGTCCTAGTTATACGCATTCTTAGGGTATTTAATTCGATATACCATCTAACGTTTAGATAGCGTTAGGTCTAGGTAGTTCTATATAAACCTAATCTTATTACTATCGTTTATAAATAGGTAGAAGAATCGGCTATACTAGTAAGCCTATTTATAAAAGCTTCTCCTGGTTTTACCGTCGAAGTAAGGTAGTTTCTTAGGCTAAGGTAACTAGAATAGTAATAGACTTAGTTAGACTATTTTAGCTTAAGTTAGTCTATATTAGTATAGGTTAGTTACTACTAGTACTAAAGCGCGTAGTACGGCTTCGAGTCTAGCGGTTCGTTCTTATGCTTTATCGAGTTTATAAAGTTACTACTTAAGCTAAGTCTAACGCTACCTCTCCGCGTGTAGCTTAGTATATATATCGTTATAAGGCGTAGTTAATATTAGTTAGTTCTAACGAATTAATTCATTAACGTTAATAGGGTCTAGTCTTATAGTAAGGATAGGTCTAGTATAGTATAAACTAGACCGCGATAGAGTATAATAGACTCCTTCCTTATTATTTAGGTAATCTTCTACGGTTATACGGAATACCGTACTAGTTATTAGTATGATAGCCTATAGAGTATGCTTATTAGTAGAGGTAGTCGTAGGGAGACTATTCTCTTCGTTTAGATTTAGAGAGAGTCTCTTATATAAGGTAGTACCACGGGTATTATAGCGCGTAGTAGGAGCTATCTCTATAAGCTACCGTCGTGCTATATAGAGAGGAATTAAAATATAAAGAGTAAAGACGTGGGATAGTAGTCTAATAGTTTATAGAGAGACATAGGAATATATTTATAGAGTAATCTTACTCTTATACGAGGTTGATTTCTAACGAGTAGGAATCGGTTTATATGGTCTACTTATATAGTAACCTCGCTTAACTTAGCTAACTTAACCTAGCTCTGGCCACTACGTGGCTACATGGATTAGAATAGTCTATATAGGTCTATTATGGTTCCCGTCCTAACATAGAACTAGTATTAGATATCTATATATATATATTAGCTAGAGATCTAAGAGTAGAATACTTATTTAGCCGTAAAGGCGATTAAAGAAGCTAAATTAGTAACCATAATAACGCGAATAGATTATATAGGACTAGCTCTAATAAAAATAGACTACTCTAGACCCGAACGGATCTAAACTAAAGAAGATAGTATATAAATTAATAACTTACCTTAAGAGTAAGGTAGATATACTAGAGAAGAAAATTTAGAATAAGAGAACTAAATATAAGCTTAGTTAATATAGCGGTTATATAACCCGTAGAGCTACCTCTAAGGTAGTAGCTATAAAGTAAGGGATAAGCATGTATATAAATAAAAGTGAACTAGAGCTTAAGTTTACTAATATAAAGACTATCGATAACGTTATATGGATTTAATTAGATACGTATATAAATATAACGCTTATAGAATTACGGATTTATATATAGCTAAGTACTTCGGGGCGAAGTATAAAAAGAAGAAGGATATTATTAGGGCTAATACTAGGATAGACTTAACTAGACTACTATAGTCTAGTACGGTCCGTAATAGGTGGACCTAGGTTAAGCCAGCTAGAATAAGCGAGACTACTATATAAGTAGGCCGCATATACTTAATTCCTACTCTTTAGGAATTAACCTTATTAGAAGAGTAGACTACCCTTTTAAATATATTCCCGAATCCTCCTATAACCTGTTAGACTACTATCCTACGTCTATAATCCTTATAAGAGTTTTTAAAAGTTCTTAGAAGTTAAGTTAGAAAAGAGCCTATATAAAAACTATATTAGATTCTAGAATTACTACCTTCTTTCTCTTCTCTAAGAAATTTAACTCTTTATTTATAGACTAAATTAGAGAGTTTAGAGCTTAGAAAGTATATGGAATATAATAGAAGGCCGTATCTACGTCTCTATATAGACGTATCTCTAGTATAGTAGTAAGTATATATTTACTACTAGTATACTTAAGAGAGACCTTCTCTCATTTACTCTAGACGGTATTCTCTCTCTATTACTAATATCTATATTTTTAGCTTTTCTATAAGGTCTTTAAGTATACTAGTTTAATAGACTACTAGTAAGTTTCTAAACTCTAAAGTCTAATTAGATTCTACTATAGTACTAGCTTAGGTATAGGATCTAGATCTAGAGATATATAATAGTAGAATATTAATTCTTTGAATACTTCTATTGGCTTCTAATAAGAGAGTAGAAAGAGTAATAATATGTTTAAAGAATAATAGAGAAAGAGAGTAAGAGTTAAAGAGATTCCTATGTAGTAGTAAGTATATAGTCTATATAGAGTGGTACTTCTCTTTGAATTTAGACTATCTATAGAAACTCATCTATTACTCTATATAACTTATTATATAAGTATTACTTAAAACTTATCTTCTTGTTCTATTTATTATTAAGATTTTGATCAAGGGTAAGGTTGTCTTAGCTATTAGAATAAAGGGGAAATGCACGCGAGTATAAGTGCTAAACACTTACGTCTTGTTACTGCGTTAGTCGGTCCGTTATCCAGTAGCTGCCAATGAGAATCCCACATCGTTAGGTGGTGTGCGCATATCGTCTTGCACCATATCTAAAATGCCTCAAGATCGTCCTGAAGCATAAGGTAATTGTCTCATTGATCCCTATAGCATTTAAAAAGATAGCTTATTGACGGTACTAGGTATAACATGGAACATTCGGCCGGTCGGCCTCGTCTCGGGATGACGGTAACTAAGGTTACATGCGTTCAAGGCTATCCATGCAGCTATCTCCCAGATGGTTATTTCATGCTTAGCCGGACGTCTCCGAGGCTCATGCCTCCTTAAACGTGTTGCTCGTACCGAGAATGAACTCATCATTGTATTCCGCTACGTTGTCGGCAAGGATAACACACTAGTGTCGACCTTTCAACTAGCTAACCGCCTTGCAGGATTTATAATACACACAGATATCAGAGTCACAGTTGTCCTGTAGTATTCATGGAAGTAGTCACTAGCGTAGCAAGATCCTGGCCTTTTTGTCGATGTATATCATATATGATCTTCTAACTAAAGCAAGATCTAAGCCTGAATAGGTGGTGGAAGATGGCCTGACCGGATAAAGTCTTTGATCCTACTAGTAACTGTTTCCTGTAAGTAGATCAGGGCCCCATGTCACGCTAATAGCTATTACTCTGAAAACCATAGCACATTGACGTACAGCCTGTTGTGTTACAGTGAAACAGTCATGGGCCTTGAGTAGTTGTTCTAGTGCCTGCTGCTTCACAATCTCTGTTCTAGCTTTTTGTTCACAACATCAGCAACTTACGCTGTGAAGCAACTTGCCTATAAGCAAACCTATCTCAAAGACGCAAGGAGCTACGTTCGTACACACTGTCATCATTATATCCCCGTTATTATGCTGAACTGTTCAGTATATCTTGTTCGTAGTCGCGTGGAATATACTTGACATTCTCCCCACAAAAACAAATTTCGCAAAAATGTCTACAGAACAAGAAAATGTGCCGATCGCCATTATTGGGAGCGCTTGTCGCTTTGCTGGAGGCGTTACTTGCCCGTCTCAGCTTTGGAACCTCTTGAAAGAGCCTCGAGATGTTTTAGGCTCTATACCGGAGAATCGCTTTCACGCAGAAGGGTTCTATCATCCTGACGCGTCATATCACGGACACACGAACGTTCTCTCGTCTTACACACTTGACGGGGATCCTGGATCGTTCGACACAACATTTTTTAAGATCAAGCCTGTGGAGGCAAAGGCTATTGATCCTCAACAGCGTGTTCTGCTCGAGGTTGTCTATGAAGGCCTCGAAAATGCAGGTCTTTCCATACACAATGTGCGAGGTAGTGATACAGCTGTATACGTCGGCATTATGAGTAGCGACTACGAGAATATGCTAGTCCAGGATGTTGATGTACTTCCTACCTACCATTCGACAGGCACTTCACGAGCCATAGCAGCGAACAGAATTTCGTACTTTTTCGACTTAAAGGGACCTTCACTCACCTTGGACACTGCGTGTAGCTCTAGCCTTTATGCGATTCATTTAGCCGTCCAAGCAATCCGTAATGGGGATGCTGAAATGGCTATTGCTTGCGGGTCCAATCTAATTCTGGGACCAAACTTTTACATCTTTCAGAACAAATTAAACATGCTTTCGCCTGACTCAAGATGCAGGATGTGGGATGAAGGAGCCAATGGATATGCCCGCGGTGAAGGAGTTGCGGCAGTTGTTTTGAAATCGCTGCCAGCAGCATTGCGAGACGGTGATCATATTGAAGCTATCATTCGCGAGACAGGGCTCAACCAAGACGGAGCAACGAATGGTATTACCATGCCCAGTACATCAGCTCAGACAGATCTGATCCGCAATACCTACTTAAAGGCGGGTCTGGATCCTTTGACAGACGGTCCACAGTACTTCGAAGCCCACGGAACGGGAACTCAGGCTGGGGATCCTATTGAGGCCGAAGCCATACAGCGGTCCTTGATTCGCAACTGTGATATCCCGTACCCACGACAACGCAACAGTTCTGATCCTCTCTATATAGGCTCTGTCAAAACAGTGCTCGGACATACCGAGAGCGTTGCAGGGATAGCAGGTCTCCTAAAGGCATCTCTAGCCATTCAACACGGCCTTATCCCACCGAATCTTCTCTTCGACCGGTTGAATCCCAAAGTGGCGCCATTTTATAAAGACGTTTGTGTTCCTATTAGGGCTCTACGTTGGCCTGCGATACCAGATGGCCAACCAAGACGAGCAAGCATTAATAGTTTCGGATTTGGTGGAGCTAATGCCCATATTATCTTGGAAAGCTCCCCGAATCAAGATTTGATGAAAGACGATGGCGAAAATGAGACTTATGGACCATACGTCTTCTCCGCGCATTCAGAGCAAGGTCTAGTAAAGATGCTTAAGAACTACATCACATTTCTAGGGAGTGAGCTCTCGGAGTCCGTATCTGCTCGTGACCTGGCTTGGACACTTCGTTCACGACGGTCGTTGCTGCCTTTCAAGGCCTCGTTTCCTACAGGAAATCTGGAAAAACTAAAGAGAGACATCGAGACTCGATTACAGGAGAATGCAGAAAAAGCGACTCCGCTGGGTACACTGTCCTTGGTTTCAAGAAGACGGGTTCTAGGCATCTTTACTGGTCAGGGCGCGCAGTATATTCGTATGGGATCGCAGCTTTTTGAAAGGTCGTCACTTGCTCGTGATACTCTCCAGAGACTGGAAGTTTCTCTTGCGAGGCTTCCCGTCGAGGATCGGCCGACATGGTCTCTAACTAAGGAACTAAATGCTGATGAAGGTTCACGGGTGTACGAAGGCGCGATATCGCAACCACTCTGCACAGCGGTACAAATAGTTTTGGTTAATTTACTAAGACAGTCGGGAGTTGAGTTCGACGGGGTCATTGGTCACTCGTCGGGCGAGATTGCTGCTGCATATGCTGGAGGATACATCTGCGCAGAAGATGCCATTCGCATTGCGTATTACCGTGGAATCCACATAAAAGCAGCGTGTAGCCCTAATTCAAATAAGATGAGAGGGATGATGCTAGCTGTTGGAACTTCAAGAGATGATGCAGAGGAGTTATTGCAAGAGCCTGTGTTTCATGGTCGAGTGGCAATAGCAGCAAGCAATTCCTCATCTAGCGTCACACTTTCTGGCGACGAGGACGCCATCGCAGAGCTTGAGACGATATTCGAAGACGAAAAGAAATTCAATAGACGATTGAGAACGGACATTGCTTATCACTCTGCACATATGATGCCATGCGCCCAACCGTACATTCGCTCGCTCGAGAAATGTAACGTACGGATCTTACGTTCGCACTCGAAAAGCTGTAGTTGGTATTCCACTGTATGCAACCTCACGATCACGAAGGGAGATCCTATGCTTGATACTGTAGCATGCTCATATTGGTCCGATAATTTAACACAACCTGTTCTCTTTTACGAAGCTATGCAGAGAGCACTAAATACAGGAAACTTTGACCTCGTAGTTGAGGTCGGGCCACATCCAGCCTTACGTGGACCAGCACTGGAAACCATTACGCAAACTTTGGAAAAACCGTTGCCGTACATTGGAACGCTGAAGCGAGGATCGGATCCAATCGAAGCATTCTCAGATACACTTGCATTCTTGTGGTCGCATCAAGAGACAGAATGTACGATCGACTTAGACAAGTACGAGGAGACTATGCAGGAGAGTACGGCAAAGTATCGGCTGGTCAAGAACTTGCCGACTTATCCCTGGGATCACAATCGAAGACACTGGCATGAGACACGCCAGACACGAAGGACTCGGCATCGAGAAGATCATGTCCATGAATTATTGGGCCATATCTGCCCAACCGTCACATCAAATCAAGTCAGTTGGAGACACTTCCTCAGAATGCGAGAAATAAACTGGTTAGTAGACCACAAAATTCAAGACAAACCGGTTTTTCCTGCTGCGGGATACATTTCTTCTATGTTGGAAGCCAGCTGCCGTATTCCTCAACTCTCAAACGCGGCCAACAGATCAAAGACAGTCAGCTTAATTGAGGCATTTGACTTCACGGTACACCGAGCTATGGTTCTAGACGAAGTTAGTGACGATGGGGACCAGGGCGGTATCGAAATAGTGATTGCAATGATGGATATCGGAGTCGAACAGCAGCAAAACTCAGAAGTGATCAAAGCTCGTTTCAGCTATATGGCAGCAGTAGACAAAGACTCGAACGAGATGGCTCTTATGGCTAGCGCCGATATCTCTATCACATTCAGTGCGACCTCAAGTGCGGTGTTGCCGACGAAGAGCTATTCGCAGCCAAACATGGTTAATGTTGCCTGCGACTCATTCTTCAGCAGATTGTTGAAGACTGGATATGGGTATAGTGGTCTTTTCAAGGCGGCAGATAATCTGAAGAGATCACTAGGGAAAGCGCAGTGCAGCATTGACCCTATATCTTTGAAAACGGCTTGTGCAAGCAGGCTTATAGTTCATCCTGCGATTTTGGACTCGGCATTCCAAACCCTGCTGCTCGCTCTTAGCCATCCTGGCGATAATCAACTCTGGACTGTTTTCATCCCTGTACGGTTCGATTGTATTCGTGTTGTACCTTCTTTCTGCCAGTCTGTCTTGCCAGCGAAATGTATCACGACCAAGTCGGCTTCACCCATGACCGTGAATACGACAATTGTTGGGCCAAGTGGGTTAGGCTTTTTGGGGGATTTGGATGTGCTCATTGCAGCAGACACAGCAATTCAGGTACAGGGAGTCACTCTTTCTCCGTTTGCAACAGGATCTGCAGAGAGCGACACAAATATGTTTGCTCGAATGCGATGGAGTTACTTTGACCCTGTGGCCGGAGGTATCGCCTTAACAGACGACATCTCGTCGAAACATCGCGATATCTGCCGCGTTGTCGAGCGAATGGCAGTCTACTACATGCGCATGTTCATTTCAGAAGTCCCAAATGGTCATGCTGCACGATTAGATCCAACATTCAGTCATTATCTAAAGTACTGCCAAGATGTGGTCGATCTCGTCGATAGTGGAAAACACAGATACGTCTCGATAGAGTGCGCAAATGATTGCTGGAATGACATTGAGTCCATCTGTGCTCAGTACTCGGAACTGATAGACATAAGAATCCTTCGGAAAATAGGGGAAATCATGCCCAGTGTCTTCAAAGGCGAGACTACTGTTCTAGAGCATGTCTTTCCGTCAGGCCTCTTCGCAGATTATTACGCCAATGCTATAGGCCAACAGGAATGTGTCGAATGGATAGGTCAGGCAGCAGCACATATAATGCACCGTTATCCAAGGATGAACATTCTCGAGGTAGGAGCAGGGACGGGTGGCGCAACCAAGAGCGTTCTCCGGAAGGCTCTACACGAGAGTTTCAACTCGTATACATTTACAGACGTTTCCACAGGATTTTTTGAGCAGACCCGAGGTGAACTTAACAGCTTAGGCCTTGACAGCCGTATTATATTCGATGTCTTGGATATATCTAAAGACCCTATCTCTCAGGGATTCAAATACGGTTCATACGATCTTATTATTGCATCATATGTTATCCATGCCACCCCTAAGCTTGAGGAAACTTTGCGTGGGTTGCGCAATCTGCTTCGGCCCGGAGGGTTTATTGTCATTGGCGAGAACACAAACCTGGAGTTGTCTGGGATGAACTTCATTTTTGGTACTCTGCCTGGTATGTGGGCTGGAGTCGAAGAAGGAAGGACATCGTCTCCATATATTCCTGTCCAACGTTGGGACAACCTGTTGAAGAAAGCAAATTTCTCCGGAATCGAAGCTGTTACGCCGGAATTTCTGGCCGATACTTTTGCGACCAGTGTCTTTGTTTCACGGGCAGTGGATGACCATATCGAACTTCTACGCGGTTCAAATGCTCCATTGCCAATTCGTCCTTCTCTTCCGAATGTGGTAATCATTGGAGACGGTAGTAAGAACACAACAATACTAGCAAATGAGGTCTGCGAAGCTCTAAGGAACTCCTACGGAACAACTTCGAAGATCTTCACTCGCCTGACAGATGTGCCAAGTCATATCCTCTCTTCAGACACAACGTTTCTTAGCCTTGCAGAGTTAGACAAACCGTTATTCGAGAACATAGAGACCGATCAATTTGAGAGTTTCAAGATATTGGTTGGATCACAGAAGAGATTGCTTTGGGTGACGCGCGGGCGCCGAGCAACAAATCCATTCTGCAACATCAGCATCGGTTTCCTGAGGACTGCTTCATGCGAGGTCCCCGATCTATGCGTACAAAGTGTTGATTTCGAGTGCGGAGACAATATCTCTGCGACTATGATCATAGACTTCCTAGTTCCATTCAAATTGGCTTCTGATCTTGAAGGCAGCTTGGAAAAGTCCAACATTCTATGGACTAATGAACCTGAGATAGTAGTGGATTCTAAGGGTGTTCGCTTAATTCCACGTTGGGAGTCTATATTAGACGCGGATAAGCGGTATAATTCAGCACGACGCCCGATCTCAGAATTGACTGAACCTAAAAAAACACCTACCGCAGTGTGTATGGATGCGAATGGTCATTTCATCTTCAAACAGACACCAACTTTGTTGCCCCTCTCGTCAGAGACCATGTTGGACTCAACCACTCTAGAGACTGTTTACAGCCTTCTTTGGCCAATCGATACTCCGTTTGGCTCACGTTTTATGTCGGTGGCTGTCATCTCAGGAAAGAGATGCCTCGCCTTAACTGAAACACTTGTTTCTGTTCAGAGGTCTGCAAATATGATCGCTTCCGCGGAGTTTCCTGAACAAGCAACGGAGGGTGAGCTGAAGGATATCTTGATCCTCGCTGCTGCTCATGTGTGGTCTTCATTTCTCCTTCACGCTGCATTTCCCGGTCAAAATGTCGTCGTTCACAACCCTGCTCCTCTTCTGGCAACCGTCTTGCAGGCCCATGCCCGTGAACGACGTATCAACATTATACTTACGTCAAGCGATTCTGACGTGGCTTCGTCTAAGTCATGGCTGCACCTGCCGTCATACATGACACGAAGGGAAATACAACGGGCTCTGCAAGTAGCCCGAATCTCGGACTTTATACTATTCAGTGATCTTGATGATGACAATAACAATAGCTTCATGTCTTCTCTTCCGTCTGATTGTCGCGTAAAGGAAGTAAGACTCAACCTTTCCAAAGACATAGATCAGTCGCCGGCTCCTGAGCAGCCAGACCGACGTCTTGAGACCGAAACAATGCACTCAGCACTATCGATGGCTTTGACTAAAGCATACCAAGCTAGATCGTCTCCGATTTCCCAGGATCTACCACGCCAAAACAACTTACTCAAGTTCTCTAGCTTAACATCTGAAGGGAGCCTCCCCAGTCACAGCGACCTCTTTTCTTGTTTCCAATGGGATGATGAACCTTTGTCGGCTTACATCTCTCGACTTGATAGCGGTCTTCTTTTTGATTGTAACAAGACATACTGGCTCGTTGGACTCTCTGCCGGGCTTGGACCATCTATATGCGATTGGATGCTCGCTCATGGTGCGAGATACGTCGTTCTCAGCAGTAGAAATCCCAGAGTCGATGAAATATGGCTACAGGGGCATGAGCGCAACGGTATTGTCATCAAAATCTTCCGTTGTGATGTCACCGCCCAAGATGCTGTCCAGGACACCTACTCTAGAATCGCTACAGACGAGCAACTTCCTCCGCTGGCTGGCGTCATAAATGGTGCTATGGTCCTTAAAGACAACCCAATCAGAAATATGAGCACCAGCGACCTTAATGATGTACTGCAGCCTAAAGTCAATGGCAGCATAAATCTTGACCGCGTCCTTGCTGATTCGAAGCTTGATTTCTTCATATTTCTTTCCTCCATGGTCAACGTTCTTGGAAACGTAGGTCAAGCAAACTACTGTGCTGCAAATGCATTCATGTCTGCGTTGGCTTCCCAACGACGGCAAAGGGGTCTAGCTGCGCAGGTTGTCAATATAGGAGCAGTTTCAGGGGCAGGCTACATCACTCGGGAGCTTGGTGACGCAGGAGTACATAGGCAGCTGATGATGCTGGGACTGAAGATGATATCTGAAGGTGATTTGCACCAACTACTGGCAGAAGCCATTGCAGACAGGCCAAAAGATTGGAATGGAGGCTACGATACTGACATCGGCTTCGCATTGCAGCAAAGCGATAGCAGTGATATAACACCTTTGTGGCACGACAATCCCAAATTCCAGCGTTTTCTCCCAAAATCAACGATTCAAGATACATCCGATATGAGCTCGGGCACAGCTCTCAGTGGTAAAAGTGTGAGAGATAGATTAGCAATCTCAAGATCTCGAGAAGACATCTGGTCAATTGCCAAGGAGACGCTACTATCAAAGATCCAATCCAGTCTACAAATAGAAGATTGCGACGATGCGTGTATGACAATGCGTAGCAACCAATTGGGGATTGACTCGCTTGTTGCAGTTGACTTAAGGACATGGCTTTTGAATAACTTTCAAGTTAACATCTCAGTACTTGAAATTCTCAGTGGTATCACTATAGGCGATATCGTTGACCGAGTCAGCATTAGTGTACCGCCTGAGCTGGTTCCAAATGTCAACCCAAAGCCTCACTCATCGGAATCAGAGGCTGGATTTGCTCCTGGCACAAGCCCGGTCGAGGCGCAAACATCTGTAGTTCCGAAGACTGATGAGGACTCCGCATTGCCTATGGTGCACTCGTCACCATCAGTACAAAAGACTTCTCCGCTCTCTTCCTCTCAATCCATGTTCTGGGTGGTTCAAAACCTCGTTGAGGATAAAACGACACTCAATCATACTGTTCTATTTAGCCTGGAAGGAGCCCTAATCAGAAAGAATGATCTCAATGTCGCTGTAAGTGCTTTGGGTCAGCGCCATGAGGCGCTACGAACCTCTTTTTCGGAGAGAGATGGACAGCCGCTGCAGCACGTCCTCAAATCAAGCACACTTAAGATGGAAGAAGGAAGAGTTCTGGACGAGTATGATGCTAAACAAGAGTTCGAGCGAGCCAAGAGTCACATCTTTGATCTTGCTTCGGGAGACGTCATGCGCTTCATTCTCCTGACCACTCCATCACCACAAAGGAGTTACATCATAATCAGTGCGCACCATATCGTTATGGATGGACTCTGTCTTCAGGTTTTCTTACAGGATATTGAAGAAACGTATAATACTGGTCGCGCGGTGCGCGACTCGGGGTCCTCTCTTGTCCGGCAATTTGCTGAGTTCGTTACTTCACAGCGAGAGGCCTTGCAAAATGGCTTATGGGATGTCGACCTTGCTTACTGGCGAGGGGTATTTGGCAGCAGTCCAGCACCTCTACCATTGACACGTGCCCGAGTCTCATCCAGGAAACCTCTAACTGAATACGCGGTCCATCGCTGCGATATTAACATTGATAAAACCCTTGCCAACAAGATACGGGCAATCGGGCGTGTATACGGGACGACGCCCTTTCATTTTTACCTCACTACTTTTCGTGTTCTACTGTATAGATTTCTTTACTCTGGACGTGACGAGAATACAGACAGTGGCTCGCTTTTGGCAGACTCTGATATATGCATTGGCATCGCCGACGGCAACCGCAAAGACGACAACATCCTGAGAAGTGTTGGTCCGTACATGAATCTACTTCCAATCAGGTTCGGACCCACGCGAGCCCCAACTGACGCTACTCCTTTGTCAACATTTGCTCAAGAACTGAAGAACGCTTGTGACAAAACATTAGAGGCCTTGAGGCACTCTGCTCCTTCTTTTGAGGCAATCCTAGACTATCTTCGGATCGATCGTGCAGTAGAGTATGCTCCTCTCTTCCAGGCTTTCCTGAACTACAGACAGGGTTGGAACCACGGACAAGTCTTTCTCAATTGTTCTGCCGAAATGCTGGAGTTCGAACCAGGTCGCGTACCGTATGATCTCAGTTTGGATATCATTGACAACTCTGGCTCAAACCAAGGGACCATGATATCTTTTATGGGTCAGACCGCCCTGTATTCCATGGAGGATGTTGCTACCTTTGCTCGTTGCTACACAGAGTTTCTAGAAGAGTTTTCAAATTACCCCGAAGAACATATTGATCAACCCGACTGGAGCTTTCCGAAGGCAGAAACCGAGCCGGCACTTCAATTGGGAACAGGCCCTCGTCAGGATATGACCTGGTCTTTGACGTTGATGCACCGCGTCAAATCTATCGTAAGTCAGTTTGGAGACCACCAGGCCATAGTGACAGTTGGTGACCACAGCCGTGGCTCATCGCTCACGTATAAGCAACTCTGGAGCAAGGTTTCTCAGATCGCTAACCAGTTGCTGTCTCTGGGAGTCACTCCAGGCAACCATGTTGGCGTTCTACAACATCCAAGCCGGGAATCTGTGGGTTCTATGCTTGCGATCATGGCGATTGGCGCCGTATACGTACCCTTAGACTGCAACCACCATACCGCACGTCTGAGGACGATGCTCTTGGATTTCGGGCCGAGTGTTCTCCTTGTGGGCTCGTCAAGTCGCACGAAAGCTTCTGAAATCGTCACATCCTCGAACTTACATGCAATGCATATCATCAATGTCTCTGAGTTGGTAACAGATGAAAGCGTCGAATCTATGGATCTAGAGTTACATGCATCTCCTACAGCACCAGCTGTAATTTTGTACACAAGTGGTACGACTGGTACACCGAAAGGAGTTGTGGTACCCCACTCCAGCTTATGCCATGAAATTGAGCTCAACAGTCACATATACGGGGTAGATTCTGACGTTGTAGTTCTTCAACAAAGCGCATGTGGATTCGATATGGCAGTACAACAAGTTTTCGTAGCCTTGGCATACGGCGGTACAGCATGCGTCATCTCGAATGAACTTCATGGCGATTCATCAGCCATCGCAGAGGCTATGGTCAACTACAAAGTGACATTCACATGTGCAACACCTACGGAATATTCTAGTTGGATACGTTACGGCGCATACAAGGCCCTTCAACAATGCCAATGGCGAGTGGCTATCAGCGGTGGTGAAAGTGCGACCGAGGAGCTATTGAGCGCTTTCAGACACCTTGGCAAGTCCGACCTGAAGCTTTTCAATTGCTATGGTCCGACAGAAACGACCTGTTGCTCTACACGATTACAACTCGACTACCAGACAGAAGGAGTCTATCAAGAGTACTCGATGATACCTGTGGGTCCAGCGTCATCCAACGAAGTTGTGTACATCGTAGATGATAACATGCGGCTCCTTCCAACGGGACTTCCGGGTGAGATCGTAATCAGTGGTCTGGGTGTCACGGCAGGATATCTTAATGATGGTGCAAAGACAAAACAGTCTTTCATTCCCGACAAGTTCTTCCAACAGGTCTCTGGTACAGAAGAAAGACCTTTGATGTATCGAACAAGAGACCGTGGGCGTCTGTTGAAGAACGGATGGATCTCGATCGAAGGACGTGTTGATCAAGACACGATGATCAAGCTTCGTGGTGTGCGTGTCGATCTCCAGGACATCGAGCAGACAATTATGAAAACTGCACCCAAGGATACAATTTCTCATGCCATCGCGAGTCTCAGATCGGACGAGGAGAGTTCGAAGTACATTGTAGCTCATGTGGTCTTCGCATCAAGAGACCTCAATGATAGCGCTGAGAGAACTTCATTCCTATCGCTGCTTCGCGAAAATCTTCCTCTGTCGAGACCTATGCTTCCGTCGGTAGTACTACCTCTGGATAAATTGCCACTAACATCTTCGGGGAAACTTGATCGGCGTTTCGTCCAACAGCTTCCGATAGATATGTTATCGCAGACCCCGGGGAATGGGCAGGACAGCGATCAGCGACCACAGAGTACACTGGAAACCAAATTGAAATTGATATGGACTCAAGTCTTATCAAGAAGAGAGGTTAGGGATATTGATCCAATGACCATAACTGCTTCGACGAATTTTTTCCATATCGGTGGCACATCGTTATTGCTCCTAGAAGTGCAAAGCAAGATTCAAAAAGATCTCGGCATACCTGTCCAACTTTACAAGCTTTTCGAATCGAGCACCCTTCTTGATATGACACAGTTGATAGCACTTCAGGGTGAGGCTTTGGTGCCTTCGAACACACCTAGTGATGAGATTGCTATTGACTGGGAAAGGGAAGCGTCTTTGCCGCGAGAGCTGCAAGATGAGATCATTCGCACGAATCTAGACCAGGAACAGTCTCTTTCTCAGTCAACAAACTATCCACCTAGAGTTGTACTTCTCACAGGCGCAGCGGGGAGCTTAGGTCAACGCATCCTCCACCTATTGCTCGAGAATCCTGCTGTGGAGCAAGTCTTCTGCGTAGCTCTACGGCGAGTAGATGAACGGATATCGTCAGGAACTCTACCAAGAAGCGAAACAGGGCGCGTCACCTATTATGAGGGTGATCTTCGACTTCCTCGCTTAGGGTTGTCAGTGGAAGATTTCGCACTGCTCTCTAAGACACTCGATGTGATTATTCATGTTGGCGCGGATGTCTCGCATGCAAAAACATACCATACCTTAAAGGAAGCCAACGTAGGCTCTGTCGGTGAGCTCCTCAAGATGTCTCTGCCTAGAACAGCAACAATACATTTTGTCTCGAGTGGAGAAGTAGCTATGCTTGGCGCAAGCTCAATACACTCTCACGGCTCTGAAAGCGATCTGCAAGACTGCAGGATCTTCAGTGAAGAATCTGTGGTTACTAATGGCATCTTTCCACAGGCTCGTGATGCTGCGCATGAGGGATATGCTGCGTCCAAATGGGTCGCTGAAAGGATGCTTGAAAACGCTTTCTCTAGCGGAGCCAAAGGTCGTGCTTGGATTCATCGACCTTCGAGTATTATACCTCCAAGCAAGGAGAATGTTTCAGATTCGGACGTGTATGCTCAGGAGATTGCGACGTTTTACCAAGGAGCCAGCGCTCCGTTGCTGCAAAGCTTCCTTTACTACTCACGCAAGCTCGGTCTAATACCTACCAAGGACAGACTTCTCCGAGGATCTCTAAATTTGGTTGATATGGATACGGTTGCGAGGAACATCATGAATACAATCTTCCTGGAGCCATTCAATGATGCCAATATGCGGAGTTCGCTCTCTAATCAGCAAGTCATGCATCGAAATCATATAGGCCAACAAAATCATGCAGTCGAGGATATGGAAGATTTGCTGTTAATGTCCAAGACATTGACACCTATCATCAAGGCTACAGAGTTCAGAGCCACTACTTTGGCAGATTGGGTAGAAAGAGCTCGCGATGCCGGACTACATCCCTTATTATGTAGCGTGTTTGAAAGCATAATTCAGGAGAAGAGAATTTTTTCATTTCCCAAGATGGTACTTGGCTCACTTAAAGAGATAGCCGTTCTTTGACTTTCGGGCTAATAGGGGATAAAGAATAGTATAGTTGGACAAAATGATATATCATATTCTCTTCTAAGATAAATTACCACCAATCTCTTTTGATAGATTCTCTAACTCTATATAAGAAATAGTATAGTATAGTATACGCTGTGACCTCATACTAGTATAAAGTGATGCCCTGCCTTGAAGTCAGTCTGCTGCCCATGATTTCCGTCAGCAATTGTTTCTTGCGTCGTGGTAGGAAGCCGCAAGATGATCGAGACGCCCCGTGTGCAATGCTACTACTCGCTGCATGAGGTTTGCATGCGGTTCAGGAATTGCTTTGCTGATCAGTTGCAAAGATCAGATCGATATCAGTCGTAATGACGTTCTAGCTTACTATGTGTTCAAATGCTTCCCTAACGTTTGTGCAGGATCGCTTTCCATTCAGCCTTGTTCCATTGCTCGATGCTGGATCTCATCGTCTCATCAAGATGGCACAAGAATCCGACTTCATGACTGAAGTCTTCACTGAGCTGGCCATAGCATTGCTCGCCATTGTGTTTCGAGTGTATGCTCCGGGCCGGTCGCAGGGGTTCCGTAACCTACAAAGCGACGACTACTTTATGATGTTTGCCGGGGTATGCTCATGTTCGAAAATACAACCGAACTGACAGTGTTAATGGATCTAGTACCCGAAGTGGCGGCAGCCTACTATGTCAATCATTTCAAAGGAGTGTCAGTTGATGCCATGTCCAATCTTGAGCGTGCCACTCTCGACCCGTCCTCGCGAGAATGAAGCGACCGTATCAATGGAGCAAAGATACTTATCCTAGGATGGATGATGCACACATCGTTTCTGTGGTACTTGAAGGCCTCCATGATGGTCTTCTCCTTCAGACTGACGTAAGTGCTATCCACGCTACTTTGCAACCCTACCTAATCAATGAAGTCACAGTGTACGACACATAAAGATACGAGTATAGATCGGAGCAACAGCTGTTACCATTACACATATTTCCATAGTCTGCATCATGCTCTTTGCCTGCTTCTCTGTAGAGAGACATTGGCAGATTAGTCGACCAAGGGCGTAAGTAAAGTTTACATCTTTATGAACTGTAACCTCTGACGTGGCGTAGCACAATACCGTTTACTTGTACCGCTGAGTACCTTGGTCACCCTCTTAATTCTAAATATCACTGCGGACGTATATTTGATCTTCATCCCTATCCAGGTACGTCTACGCGGCAACCTACTGTCTTGATGAGGCTGACTAGGCCTGATGGTATGGAGAAGTCATATGGGTATAAAGCGTAAAGTTGCCCTGACGATACTGTTTGTAGGAGCTACTCTGACTACTATATTTGGTGTATTGAGATATGCAAGGATTCTATCGTCGATAAGTCCCTGACTGCGCGATCTCAAAATTTCACCTCTTGTCGCGAGTCCTCAGAGGGGATTGCTGCTGACTATAGCAGCATGAAATCGCCGGAGAAAAAGCTGCGGAAGAGTTGTCTGTCCGAGTATCTTTCGTTGCAGTGATCGTGACTAGCTTTGCTCTGGTTTACCCCTATATCAGTAACAAATGGCAAGAATTACGATCAAAGTACGAGACTCCCAAGCCGAACGCGCAACATAAATGATATCAACTCAATCACTACGAACCTCATCAGAGGAACTAGAGTTAACAAGAGCATCAGCTCCAAGCAAGTTGCGATTGGGTAAAAAGAAATCAGGGCCTTACTCGGTGCGAGACATCACCCAACATGACGAAAATTACAGCACACAGTGGATCAACTCTATCCAGTCTCACCTCTCAACGACTACTGATGACAATGAAATATCCGACAGGCTGGACAGCACGCAAATCGATCAAATGAAGACTTGCTCGGCAGAAATTGATGGAGCTCTGGGACCTCCTACTTCCAAGCTGTGGACTAGTGCTGAAGGTGATGATCTAGCTCATCAACAACAACAGCAAGATGATCAGGGCAGCATAGGGGTGATAACATGCATACAAATTAACGGAGCTGAGACTCTCAATGAATTTGAGCGTGGCCAAGTGGGATTTTACTGGTAAATATCAGGAAAGCACCTCGAAGACTTATTATAACACTGGTTTCTGCGAGTGAATGGTACATATTGTTAACACTAACAAGGTATGATTGAAGAAGGATGGCGTCTTTAATATGGAGGGATTTTGAGTAGGGCTATATATAGATAGGAAAGTGACGTCGAAGTTCCCCGACTTAAATAGACTCAAAATATATCGTCAGAAATTTTGCTTGTAATAGGGAGACTGAAATGCATTCGTCGCCATATCGGAATTCTTTGTTACCATAATTACGACCTCATCCCCGTCGGTCTGTGAGAGTGTTGAACGGCGTTACGAGTCAAATGTCTATCGACGCCCCTATCAAGAATGTATTGGCGTATGCAGGCAGTATCAGACACCAATGGCAGGTAGCTTTCTTTCACACCTGTTATTCAGATAGACATAATCAACAAAGACTAGTGCAGATGACCTTGTGTACATAATCATCCCTGGGGGTTCGGACGCATGCCCTACTTAGTGTTAGGTCACATACGCGCACAGGATACTTGTCTAGTCGGATAAGTGAAATCTTGCCAGCACTGAAAGAATAACTTTAGCGCGCCATGGAGGAGTATATAGCATGTCCAGTAAAATTCTTGGAACCACGTAATTACATCTCACTTTTTTTGAACACTTCGGGCTGCTGTACGTTTCTGTCATGATGCCAGCTCAGAGACACCACTTGCCCATTCAATTCATTGAAGCAAAAATTGAAATACCTTTGATCAAATTGATGATACCTTCCCCTTTTCGCGGTCTCATCTCTAGTCAGGGTCCATTCAAAAGTCTCATCGTAGAAGTAGCGCAAGGAATAGGTGTGTCGATCGAGACCTTGGAACGCCAATTTCAGTTGTTCCTTGCTTTCTGGGTCGCATGTTATCCCAATAAAGAAAAGCCCTGTATCGTCATAGTATTCACCAGTGTACTCCGCGAGATGTCTTGGGGGTGGGCTCTTCTGACGCTTTGTCTCTACAGTCTGTTGCATTTGGTCGTAAAAGCCAAGGCAACGAGAACAAAATCGCTCAGTCAGCTGTACAAAGTCAAGCTTTTGCTCGTCCGAGAACAGTGATTGTATCAGGCTCTGCGCGATGAAGTCGGCAGCATCGCAATTTGCGATCGAGTTCGTAAGAACGATGACACCTGACTGTGTCTCTGGGAAAAGATAGAACGAAGTAAAGTACCCGACGGTAGCCCCTTGATGATATAGTGCTAGCTTTGACGAAGCCCCCTCTCCCAAGATTGGAAGATCTTGCACTGCGGCAATTCGACTGTTGTCACCAATCAAGCCAACTGCCCCTGGAAGCTGCGTCCGAATCCATCCTAAGCCATAAGAGCGCTCTCGAATAGATGGAGTCATGATGGGTATGTGTGCCGAATAGTGCTCTCCGGCCTCACGTATGGGACCATGCTCTTTGGGGGGTAGCTCACTAGCAGCCCGAAGTACATGTTTCGAGTATGTAAGCATGTCTTCAAGCGATGTGTAGATGCCAGCCGCGGCCTCAAAGAAGTGATTTCGAAAGTCATGACGGTATTTAAGGGGGTGGAGACTTCCGTCAGCCAAAGCAGCATGAGGTTTGGCGAAATTTGGCGTTGTGTCAAACTCTAGCTTTGAGATTGTGCGTTTAAGTCCGAGTGGTTTTGAAACATATTCGTCGAGACATTCTTGGAGGCTTTTACCGGTCACTTTCTCCAGTAACTGGCCAAGAACGGAATACCCATGACTGTTGTAAAGCCAAGAAGCACGAAATGGTACGACAGGTCTCAATTTCGGGAGATATTTCCAGAAGTCATCTTTTTTTATCAAATGCTCGCCATCGCCCTGGAAAGTAAGATGAAAAGCACCGGATAGACCCATCCGGTGTGCCGCAATATCTACAAGATTTGCATTATCGGTCACCATTGTCGAAGATGTGATGAATTCTGGTAGATGACGTCTGACTGGTTCATCCCATTCCACGGTCTTCTTGTCCACGATCGCGTTAGCGACAGCGACCGCAAAGAAAGACTTTGAACATGATCCGATTCCGTACAGTGTGCTCGAGTCGGCTTTCTGTTTTTGTTCAGGATCTGCGAAGCCGTGATGATTTGTGTACACGATCTCGCCTCCATGAATAACTCCAATTGAAGCTCCCGCAACTCCTGCGATACGGCAGATTTTATCGATTGAAGCTTGCTGAGACTCGAGCTTTTCGATGAGCTGTCGTTCGTAATCTGCCATCATAAAACTCTGAGACAGAATGTGCTCGCGCTGGTGCGTAAATTTCGTAGGGGTAAACCCAGCTAGCAACGAAGAGACCTATGTGTCGCTTTGGAGAAGGCCTAAAGTAGACTGTAAGACTCTAAAGAATGCAGAACATGAAATCCAAAAAGGAGTTTTGGAGTAATATAGCTGTAAAGGTATTACGAGGTGGCTATCGTGTCTTATGCGGTACATGAACAGCGTACAAGTGAGCTAGGAAGGCAAATAAATCTTGCCAAGTCACTGAGTGAGCTCTCCCAAACGATTAAACATGTGGCACAGCCTGTAATTTATTCGCCCCGCTATATACGTATATCATAGTTACATGGGAAAGCTTCGTTCGCCCATGTCTCATACGCATACGACTTCGTATAATAATAAAGAAATCTGTTTGTTACCAATGATATCGAGGGCAAGTGGTTGCTAACTATACTAGAGGGCGAGCCGTCCCTACTGACGTCAATAGCAACTAACCTACGTACGACCCCAAGGGAGCATATTCCGAAGATGCGGATGTCCGGAGCACGAGAAACATATACAGACACTAGCCAACTCAAGACACCGAGCTCACGATCTCTCGATGCATTAAAGTGCGTCTCTATTACGGTAAATATCTTCCTGTGGCTGTAGAGCCGAGCAAGCACCTTAAAAAGAGGTACGTAGTAAGAAAAATATCGGTAGTACTCGAGATACAAGGCGCAAGGGGCTACTCGATTCCAACCTGGACGCCAATCGATAGATGTGCGGGCGACACGGAGCCGATCCTTACACAGTACGAGGGCAAGCCCACTCACACGACAGGAAACCGATAGCTTCGCATTATATAGTACAATGTCCAACCCTCCACAGACCTTGTCCTCACCAGTCTATTTCGAGTTACTCGGACTCTCGAATACGACATACTAGCAATTCAAGAACCCTGGCGAAATCCATTCAATATGACCACTTACCATTCCCTCAAACTTCACTTCCATTTGGCCTACATGAAAGACGCGGGCACAAGAGTTTACTTCTAGATCAAGGATCGAATCGTTTTGAACATCTGGAGCGCATGCTTTATCTCCGAAGACATCGCTTGTCTGACAACCAACCCAAAACACTCTCTCGAATAGAAGAGTCATGATCTACAACGTCTATAATGAACTCGGGATGACCACGCCTGATATCCTGGCCGATTCTCTCAGCGCTACGGATTCATAACATGAGATTATGCTGTTGGGGCACTTCAACTTACCCTACCATCTCTAGTCAGGGGCCCAAACGCGCCAACGACGCAGCCAGAGTATGAGGCCTACCGACAAGCACGAAACAAGAATGGACGCCACATCTCAAAATCGCTGCGGAAGACGTATCGCCAGAGAGTGGAAGAAGCTTCAACCACGGATATAGGACTGTGGAAGTTGGTGTGTTAGGCCAAGAACAGGCACCGCGTGACAAGCCAGGCCAGATTGTGAACTCGTGCTGCGTGAAGCGTTTTTTCCGCCTGCTGACATTCCGACATAGACGGCTACGAATATCCCAGCCCGATCAACTGCCCGGAGATCTCAGCGATAGAGATGGAAAGGGCGGTGCGTGGTGCTGCCCCAATCAAGGCACCGGGAGTATATAGATGGCATCACTAACGCCCTCCTTCACCAGACTCTTCAGATCTTTCTACAGACACTGCGTGTCTTGTTTAACGCATGCCTGCGTCTGGGGTCTTGCCCGAAAAATTCCAAAGATGCAGCGACCATGGTTCTCAGGAAGCCTAGACAGAATGATTACATGCAAGCCAAGGCATACCGGCCCATCGCCCTGCCCAGCACGCTGAGCAAAGCGCTCGAGGCAGTCATTGCTCTACTCGATAAATAAGTTTGAAGGTGGCCAAGTGGGATTTCACTAGTAACCATCAGTTAGAAGTATTCTTCTATATGAAGGGGTAGTCTCAGCATTCCGGACACTGATTACGGCACTGTTTCTTCGAGTCCAGATTGCAGTGTGCGCCTACATATCGTCACGCAATTGATATTTGGCATGTGGGGTGTGTTGTCTTTCAAGCAGTTCTCATTGAGCAACTTTGAAGCGCGCTGGAAGTTTGGACCACAGATTCAGGAGAGTTCCATCGCTGATTGAAGTCTTAATCTATCCTCATCCGGCCTTTTGACCAATCGATATGCCTGAGGGGCTGGTGCCACGAATAAGTATCAAGGTTGAAGCTTTGGTATTTACAAAAGCGCTAGCTAGCACTGCCAGTTAACGGAGATTATACTTCAGTTTGCAAGACTTGCTTCAGAACAATGTTGACGCACAATGGTTAAGGGAGGTGTCTAGTCTGTGAGTTTTTAACATTTAACGGCAACGAAGCCGGCGAACAAGAATCTCGCCAAGACTAAGAACGCTGTGCCCAGGAGCATAATAGATCCCATGACCATCTGCGCGTATAGATAACCGCCGCTATGAGCCTGTATCAAAGCTCCAGCCAATGGTGGCCCTGCTAAGCATCCGACACTCAGCAAGGTGAACATCATGCCCACACGGACAGGGACCCTCGTTTTGTCCTTAGTAAGCGCAACAAGCGTTGATGGAAAGAGTGTCTGCACACTCGCACTCGCGAAGCCGTAGAAGATGGCCCACGTCCACATGCCGCTGGGGCTATGGACGCCCGCCCAAGCGAGATTCAAGATAGCTGTACAGAGGACAACAGGGACGAGGACGTTTAAGCCGCCGTAGAAGCGGTCGGCAAGCAGGGCTGGGATCAGACGGCCGGGGAGTCCAATGGCATTTAGGGTTAGGAGGAGGGAGAGAGAGGTCGTGGAGGAGACATGGAGGATGTCCTCGGCGAACGGGGTGGTCTGTCCAACTGTCAGTATTGTGTCCTAATTGTGTCACTTTAGGCAGGTCTACGCACGTAGTATAGCGCGAAATACATGCCTAGAACGGCAAGTACTAATCCAATTGCAAACGTGACAAACACACGATCAGTGAAGGCAGTCATGTCGATGATGCGCCTGGCATTACTACTTGGTGGGGGTTTCGGCTTCAGGAGTAGAACGGCGAACACTGAGTTCAGCATTATGACGAAACCCATTGTTCGCTGCGACCACTTAAAGCCTTGTGCGGGCAGCATCTGTTGTGCAATCAGTGGGAAGATCACACCGCCAGTGTTCAATCCCGACGCGATTGCTGCGATAGCAACAGCACGCCGCTTTACAAAGTATGAGCTCACGAGTCCCACAGTTGGAGCAAATGTCAGGCCCATGCCAACGCCTTGACAGAGACTTTGCGAGAGAAAGAAGTGCCAGTACTGTGTTCCCTCGGCGGATGTAAAGATACCCACAAGTTGCAGCACGATGCCAACAGCCAGAACGTGGCGGTAGTAGCCGGTAGTCAGAGCGTGCATAGAAAACGTGCTTAGGAAGAAGATCAAAAATAGCTGCACTGAACCTATCCATGAGACTGTGCTAGGAGAGACGCCGAGAGTTTCAGTGTAGTGAGCTTGGAACAGACCGTACGAGGTGATATAGCCCCATGAGTTGACTGTTAGGAGATGGCCACCAAGAACCTGCAACCAGGGCAGTAATCCTGTGTCAATATGCGGGTCGGCACTAGGAGCTGGTGCCTCTGAAGTTGATTTTCCAGGAGCTGTTTGTAAACAGTGTGAAGATCCTATGGATTGTCAGCTACTTATATCTGTGCATGTGGAAGTTTTACTAGCCTTTCTTAGTGCTATTGCAGGAACTAGCAGCTTTTTCAAGATCCATGTTACCAATACAAGGAGACTCAGAGAGTGGACCCATGAGCTATAGTATGAGCAATGTGTCCGGAGGTCTTTGGAGGAAGGCTTTCAAATATTTAGACAATGGAGATACTTGAGGGGCACAGTAAACGCTCTAGAGAAGGCTCAGCGTTTATAGTGCAATCTAGTCTGCCAAGTCATGTAGACCATTGATCGTGCGAGTAGTCATCCTTGATGATAGAGTAACCCAGACAGATATCTTTCATTCATTGGTGTAGAAGATGTCTGTGCTGCGTTTCATGTTTTCTTGCATCCATCGCAGAGAGCCTCGAGTGCCAAACGGCCGATGGATCTACACCGTCAAGTACCTAATTGCAGTTCGCTGTACTAGGAAGGTGGTTTCTGAGCCTCTGAAACGTGAGCATTTTGGGTCATCATACCTATAGGACATACCTATAGGTAGGTCTATAAATCCATGGTGCCGGTATTCCAAACTCATACCTGCTCTCATCTGGTTCACTCTACTTTTAAGCCAGGACTGAGATGGACAACGAGCCGAACCAGGGCTCGGCTCGACTTCGCTGGCAGCCTGGCCGAGAACTCATTCAATTCGGACCGAATTGTAGATTGAAGACGGGAGGTCAAGCATGAACGAGGTATAACTATGAAGATAACAAAGCCCACGCGTATCTTGGAGTTAGTACATTAATCTATCATAGAGATTCGAATATGGAGATCCACGGGCAGCGACGAAAAAGTGATTGTGATTGTTGATAGAGGTGGGGGACTACTTGGCAGGCTGAATCTAATCCCTTTCGAGTTAGCTCTGCCAATATATTTACGCATCGGCCCAGACAGTATTACTAGACTTAGTCATCTCATAATACACGGCTTCCAGTAGGGGCTGCAATGCAAGTGGTCTCTTTCTTCCATGACTAATATAGCCAGTTCCACTCAGCCTACCAAGGTGTTGTTATATTTAGTTTACTGTTGTAAAACACGACAATACCCAGCAAGAACCTGGTGTCAGCCTATTAAACGCGCGTATATACACGACCTCTCACAAGGTTTCCTATGTGTGTGTACACACACGCTGGTCCCGGCCCAACTTCTATTTACTTCACCTGACTAGCCCTTTCTTATAGTAGGTAGGTACCATTCTCTTGCTTGGAGGACCGCGACTGCTTCTTGATTTTTGAAGAAGATCTCTCAACGCCACTTTTCTCAAAGCTGTGTTCTGTCTTCTTCGTAAGTGTAACCTGTACATGGTTTATCAAGTTCGTCCCATGTTACTTCCCCGGAAGAGTCACCATTCCACATCAATTTCTCTATTGCTCTTTTCCTGCCAAGGCAGTTAAGCCATTTCAACAAACACTTTCGCGTCGCTCCAAAGTCACCATGCCGCCTTCCGGATGGGCATTGCTCCAGGAAACCATACGCGCTGAACTAGAACTGCTGCCTGACCGCCCAACGCCTTCACAGATACTTCCACCGCCCAAACAAGCTGCCGCGTCTCCATTTGATAATTCAACGGTTAGTGGCGTGGCGACCAAAGGACCTCTAAGAGAGATCAACGCGACCTCAGCAGCTACCAATCAATCAGTCCTTGACAGCGGAACTCACAGTATCTCCAACAGTACAACGGCACCTAAGCAAGAACAGGTCTCTCTCAATAACGAGACCGAACCGGTCGCAGACTCAAACGAAGTGGAACCCTCCAATTCTCAGAAGTCAGCCTCTAGCTGTACTCGAGTTCCCGATTGCTCCCTGGCACGCGGTGAACTGGCACCCCTCAATCAGACATTCTGTCCCATCTTACTGTTCAGCAAATTTCCATATTGGTTCATTTCCAGAGAGTTTTCGGAGCGCGTCGCGGACGCTTTCTTCAACGGCGGTAAGTTTTGGGAGAGGACTTGGGACTTGTAAGTAATAGTTCTGCTGGTTTCTGCTGCTGCCGTCTCTAGCTGCTGAGATATCCTTCTGACATCTCTAAGGTACTACTTCTGGGCACCGGAAGCGGCGAAGCCTCTATTCTTCATCACCGAACTTCAAGCTCAGCTACTGATCAACGAGATCAACGAAAAATTCAAGGATACTGGACTACAAGTAGTCTTGAGTGCCTCACAACGCCGCGAGAGTGGTCTGATCATCGACTTCTATGAGCCTCATCCACATCTTCGACCACGTTACCTAGGTCGATCCCACACTCGCGACGAGAACCAAAATATGACGATCAATGCGCCCTCGGCGACCTTCCGACCACGTCATGAGGCTGAAGTCAGCCCTCCAGATGACAATGAGTTGGAAGCATTCAAGGAGTGGTATGAAGAACAGGCGCAGAAGCAGAAGAGCAAGAGCAAGACCCTGAAAGCTAAGAAGAAGGAGGAGCGCATCATCATTCAGAAGGGTTGTGTCAAACAGCTCAAGCGCACTCAGCGCTATCTTGGACTCAGGCCGAAGAAGCCTATCCAGCCACTTCATGATCCAGCTCTGTCAAGTTTCACGCCTGCTGAGCGCGAAGCTGCACAAGCCCAATGGGAAATTGATACCTTCATACCTCCACTCAATGTACTCGAACCAACTCCCTATGATTTCGAGAACTCTGTTGTTTTCATCGCCATCGACGTTGAAGCTTGGGAACGCAACCACAAGGTCATTACCGAGGTCGGAGTATCCACTCTTGACACGATGGACCTGATCAACGTAGCGCCCGGCAAAGACGGCGAAGAATGGCGCAAGAAGATACGCACGCGACATATATGGATCAAGGAGAACATGCATCTGCGCAACCAGGACTTTGTACATGGATGCCCCGAGCGCTTCGAATTCGGCACATCCGAGCAAATCACCATGAATGAAGCCCGCCGCGAGATCGCAGCTTGCTTCCGCCCACCATACAGCTCTACCACGCGGCCAGATTCGACAATTGAACGTAACATCATCGTCGTCGGCCACGATCCCAACCAAGACATCCGCTACCTAGCCTCTATGGGCAGCAACCCACTCGACAACCGCGCCAACATCCTCGAGATCCTCGACACCGCAACCGTATACAAGACCTGGAAGCGCGAGACCCAAAGCACATCCCTCGGCTCCATCCTCTACAACTTCGGCATCGTCGGCTGGAACCTGCACAACGCAGGCAACGACGCCCACTACACAATGGAAGCACTCGTCGCCATGGCCGTGCGCGAAGCCACCCTCCACGGCACTAAAGCCCTCGAGCAACAGCGCGACCTGGAAAAAGCGACCAAAATCCTCGAGGCAACTACCTTGGCCGCAGTAGAAGCAGAGGAGAGGCTCGAGGGCTGGAGCTCTGCGGGCGAGGATGGTGGTGAGCCTGTCGCACCTGCAAAGGACGAGATTGTGCCGACGCCCGTGGCTGTCGTCGGTCGGGATGGTACTACGTACTATGATACTAGAGGGGGCGGTCGAGGCGCTCGTCGTGGTGGCGGTCCACCACGTACCAGAGGCTTCAGCCAGCAGCAGGGCAGTCAGCGTACTGATTCGGAACAGATGGTGAAGCCTGGATATATGGCGTCGACATCGCAGGAGCAGGACTGGTCAGGTCTTAATGCTGCCATGACCAGCCCGCGCCCGAACGAGCGTAGTTAGGGTAGTAGTGTTGACATGCATAGGTGAATCAACCCGTGTGTGCTGACGACAATACGTGTCACGAAAGCACGTGAATGACACTGATACAAAGGACACTTGCCAAGGGCGATCACTGCAAAAGAAAGAAAAAAAAGGACGAGCTCTTAAAGTGGAGAACTGTTTCATTAATGCATGTGCATGGAGCATGAACTACGATTGCAAAACTGTTGGTTCAGCGCTGGAGTTGCGGAAAAGCCTCTATTTTAATGCATGCGTAGGGCGTGATGGGTGGATGGATGGAAGTACAAGCAAGTGCTGAAAAGAAAACAAAAGCATTAATAGAAGGCGTTGGCTCTGCATTCTTTTTCTTTCTTCTCTTTCCATGGCATTAGGAGCTCTAGGAGCAATTGATAGAGCGCCGTCTAATAATACCCTATACCCCCTTTCCACACAGACACCTAGGCAACTAGTACTGGTAGCTAATTCGTGCTCGTACCTAAATTGCAAGTTATATTTATTACCTTAGGTTCAGTCAACTTTGCAGCTACCAAGGACGTCATTGTTGTAATCGGTTTACACGGTTAATACGCCGGTTGCGGTCATCGGCTCATGGCATCCTGTGAAACACTACAAGGAAGCGGGCTTGAAATGACTCATGACTATTATACGGACCTGAACCTCCCTACCTAAAAGTCCCGGTAGCGTAGCAGTGATGCATATGAAGCTGATGTACAGTCTTCCACGCGCGCGCTCGATCGCTCAACAACATTTCGTTCGGCTTCGAAAGAAACCATATATGCCCGGCACCGTCAATGCAAACCCAACCAGCCCACCTATACTCTCATTCATGTGCGTTGTGTTGCTTTTCGTCATCGGTCGTAAGATGCACGCTCTATCATATCATCCGTGCCACCCCTTTCACTTCTTGGTAGAATGCATCTCAACGTTCGATGCGGGTATTTAGAAAGTCTCCTCCTCGACTTCGCCCTCGGTCTCAGCGGGGATCTCAAAGCCCTCCTGGGCATAATGTCAGTTTCTGTGTCTAGGTACACACAAGCAAGGAAAGAAAAGAAATACCCTCGCTTACCTCGGTCGAGTACAAGATAGTCTGGATCTGCTTGAGTAGGCCACCCTCATCTTTCTCGAGCTCGGGCTCCGCCTCCATTGCTTGCTGGATCAACAGCTCAATGTCGCGCAGCTTGCTGAAGTAGAAGTCACGCTCGCGCTCGAGGCCGGTCACTGTCTCCTTAAGGACGTCGTTCTCCTGTCTAAGCTGTGCGCTGGCAGCGCCTCCGGCAGCAGCGCCTGCTTGTGGTGTTCGGGTACGTGGTGCGGCGCCGCCTGTAGGTGCACGGCGGGCTGCACCTCCGCCTGCACGTGGTGCGGCAGCGGCTGGGGGAGCTCCAGATGCCTTCCGTCGTGAGATAGCATCGTAGTCACCGCCAGGGAAGAACTGGTCCCAGTGGCGCTTGATCCACTGGAGGAACTCGAGGTTGTCCTGCATCTTACATTTTATGAGGGACTCGACAGGGACTGGGCGATCGACTTGGTGCTTGGTAAAGGTGTCTGTCCATCAATGGTCAATTATGACCGTGGAACAACCATGTTGCTAGCGTGACCTGGTGGGAAGAAGATAACGGAATTGAACGTACTCTGTAGTATCTTGAAGTTTTGTAGGTAGGCATATTCAGTGTTGACGTTGAACTTGACACGAGACATCGGTACATCAACTGAGTTTGCTGTCAGCGATTGCTTCAGCATCACCGAGTTGAACTATGATACGTACGGTAGATGCTGTCCATAATCTGACAGAAAGCAGCTCTATGTTTTTGTGTCAGCTATGCTACATGGGCGGTTTCCAGATATTTTTCCTAGGAAGCTGAAAACCGCGACCGCGACGTGCGATATGGCTCGTTGCAATGGCCGAGTTGAAGGGAAGATTGCTTCGCACCCTGTACCGCATTGCTCGACCTTGGTGACATTCAGTTGTAGAAGGCTATTTAACCATTGCAGGAGCTCTTGTCTACGGCACATATGTCAGCTCTCGATGAATTCCAGGGAGCGTAGAGGGACGGCTATAGGAGATTAGGCTGCAAGATCCGTACCTTGATTCTCCCATCTTGAGTGAAGCGACAATTCGTGTCGTAAACAATAAGAGTCAACTAGCGATGAGAACGGACTTAACAAGACTGAGTATATAGCGGTGGAAGGTCGGTATATGTAACAGCGAGCAGGTTCTGGTAAGAAGATTCAAAGTGTTTTGCCTGCAGAAAAGATGCGTTGTGTTGATGAAGCTCATTCGTTGGCGGGGATATGATCGCCCACGCGCTAAAATTCCACACGCCCCTCGCACGTGATGACGCGCTGGCCGGTAAAGTTACGAAGTCTTTCGGGACGCGGCAAAATTATCTGTTCGTCGGAGCGAACGGGGATTGCAGACTAGAAATAACGTCACGCTTGGGAGTCACTGAAAACCTGGAGAATGCCCTTGATTCGATCTTATTCGTTTCAAACTGAGTCTGCAAGCAGGGTAGGTATATCCATCTAAACGCCTCCTACACTTCAATTGTAGAAATGCCTTCACACGTTGTGTATCAACTCATGCACTGTACAAACATCTTATCTGCATCCTTAGCCTGAGTGCCTTTCAGCGTCACTTGACTTGGCCTCTCCATCAAATCGAACAGGGGCCCTAGTCCTCTTGAATTCACCAAATAGTGATACAGCTACCCATGCGACAAAGACGACTCCAGCGATCACACCGTAGGCAATCTCACCACTCTTTGAGTTGTCAGCCAGCTTCAAACCCAGTCCACCGTTGATCATGCCGAGGGTGATGAGAGCACGACCAAGCCAGATATGAGCGTGAGAGACGATAGTGCGGCGTCCATGCTTCTTGTAGCCGAGATGGTGCAAGAATCCACCAATAGGTTGGACCCACATGAGAGCAAAGACAACGAGACCGATAATGGGATGATATTCGGAGAGCTAAGATGGGTCAGAAAGGTATGTTTGCGTGTAGATCGACCAACTTACGTAGTTGAGCTTTGTCGCAATGTAGATTCCCAGACCAACAGCAGCGGTGAGCAGGAAGAGTGCCAGCATCTGAATCCCAGCATGCACCCAGATCAATCCCGAGAAGCTAAACAGACGGATAGTTATAGAGCCCAGCGGGAAGAAAATGACCATTGCAAGCGATGCTAAAACACCGTGAGCAATAAGCATGGTCATAGAAAATGGACCACTAGACGGCTCTATCTGGTTTCCTCCATTGCCATTGCCATTGCCATTTCCATTGCCCTGACCGCCACCGGTCGATGGTGGAGGAGTGGTGTTACTATCGACGAATGGATTGACGCTGCTGCCACCTTTAGCTGAGGTCATGTCCCAGTTGAATGCGGCATGCGCTGTGTTGTGCTGTCTGATCGTTGCAGATGTATCGTCAGAATTGATACTAGAGCCTGTGTATGCCGCATGGATCCAGCTTGCTTGGTTATCCGTGAAATCCATAGTACCTCCACTCCAGGAGTTGCAGCTGGAGCCTGTCTATGATTAGCATTGAGGTGGATTTGGAATGAGACTTGGTACATTTGAAATTGGCAATCATCATGCCGTCACTAACGCCGGTCCCTTCGAGCATGGTGATTTGAGCATCAGCGTTGTGACGCGGCATGATATAGCCAGTTCCGATGCGCGGCGAAACGGTGACGTTGCTTCCGTCGCCCGAGGTATAGGCCACGAAGATTTGAGCACCGTCCATGCCACGGCCTTGACCTACTGCAACCCATGAGTAGGACGTTGGCGCCTTGATTTGCAGAAAGATGTCGCCATTGCCGCTTTGGGCAGTAGACTGTGGAATGTTAAGTTGATAGCAAATGTCATCATAACATTGCTCTGACAGCTGAGCCAGAGCTGTAGCGCCTGTGGGGAAGTTAGTTTGATGCGCAGAAAGGAAGTAGAGGGAGCCATACTCAAGCCCAGCAACGATGTAAGGATAGATGACTTCATGTTGCGATGGATGATTAGGTGTGAGGCGGCGGCAAGGAATGTTGAACAAGGCTGAATGAGAGAGCAGCTTCGGACAGGGTGAGTCCTTGAGAGAAGGCTCGACGGCGATAGTGTTGTTTATAGATGGCAGGAGCGATGCGGAGATGTATGCCAGAGAGCCTTTGAGCCGGCGAGATAGCAGACGTAAGAAAAGGAAGCCCAACTGCTGGGCTGACGCAGAACGAGAAGAATGATAAAGAGCCAAGAACGGCGAGGTAAGACCAGCAGGGCTGGGATAAGTAATAGAAGAGAGGCTGAAGGCTGATGTATCGTTAAAAGACAAAAAAGGCAGGGAGATTATGAGACGCCGGTTAGGGCGATACCCGAACGGTGACCAGTAGTAGTGCGAAGGGCAAAGGGTAAAGTGTGGAGTGAGTGAATCAAGATGGCTGTGCGGGCCGCGCGATTGAGCAGACTGTGACTAGGCTGTGCTATGTATACCTACCTGCCCTTGTGATGCCTGCTGGTGCTTGTAAGTCTGAACACAGAGAATGGTAAATGCAATCATTACGCATGCTATATCTATCATACATGTGGGCAGAGTCCAGGAGCAGAGAAAAGAAAAAGCCACCAAGGCTCGTCCAGTCGCGCACCGGGAAAACACGCTGATGCGACGATGCAGCCAAGCGGCATGGCGGCAGGGCCCACCCAGCATCCTGACCAGCCATGAACGGATGAGATTGGACAGAAAAAGACAGACAATGAAGTGAATCCGCAAAATGAGGAGGTCCATGAGGTCCAGATGCGGAGCCAGTCTAGCCTTCAGCGGAGAGCCGGTGATTAAATTTAGTTGAATGACACCAGAAGCATTTCAATAAGATGGTTGAGTTCGACCAGAATGAGAAGAGCAGGCATCTATATCGAACCGTGTCGGGCGATACAGGATGAATACATGTCATCACTCGGGCTTTGCCTAATACCTGGCATTATTAGTTGTCTGAACAGGCGCCGAGTAATCAGGAATCGTGCTTTGAAGTCTTGGGAGCGAGAGATGAGGTGTCGTCGAGGCGGAGCATGAACCAGGGGTTTGTGCGCGTCCAATCAGACGAGGGCTATTTGCAAGGGGCTCTGTCAAAACAACTAAAGATGCATCCAACGCCCAGGCGCAAGACGCACGACGAACGAGTCTTGTCACTTTGAAACCTCAATGTTTTACAAGCCCTTTGCCCTCATATAGTGGACTGCCTACATTACGCGTCTTGCCTTGGCGCATCATCCTCAGCTCTGATTCCTGACTGCTGCTTATCAACACTCACGGAAGAGTCCCGTCCGCGGATCGGACTACTTGAACGTCCAGCATCCTGCTTGAGGTCCATAGTTACCGACCGCTGTTGCTGTCCACGGGGCATATCTCCACTCCACATGCCATCGTCCACACTCAACACCATCTAATCGCTCGACCATGATTTGCCTGCTGGGTGCTAGGCGCAATGGACTTGCCATGGACTAGAGTAGTTGGGATCATGGAAGCTCGAGATGCCGTACAAGAAGGCTAGGCCAAAAGCAGATACCACTCCAGGAAGCCCTAGGTCCACTGATACCTAGGTAGGTATCAAGTATCAAGTTCAACATCTCGCCACTGTTACTTCCCTGTTCTGGATTAGTTCACGTAGTTTCGCGACGGTTGGAATATAAGAACAAATATATTGCGGGGTAGCGCGATCTTCTCACCTATACACACACCTACGTCGGACGTCGATCGCGCACCGCCTGGTTGCGTGTGCACGTCTGCCGAGGATATGCTGTACGCGGGTTCCATGATGATACACCGGTCTAATTACCGTACCTTGCACCTATGCCATCTATCACGCACTTTGCTCATTGACTGCTCTTAGAACTGGTGCTTGGTGCATAGTCTTGCAATGATCCAACCTTATCAGGAAAATTTTGGCATCGCGTGACCATTGGAGATGCATTTGTTATGTAGAACATGCGTATTCGTGTGATGATCACATAATTTCGCACACTCACACAGCAGTCACACCAACGAATAGTCGATATCAATGTCCAAATCGCCGTCCTCGGCGATGCCTCATTGTTTTATCTGATCCCTCGATCGTAGCGCCTACCGATGGACAGGCTTCTATGCCCGCACGCTCCAAACGTTAGGTGCTCGTGTAACGCCTCTAACGTTTCCAAAATAGGCCTTAGATCACAATGCAGTGGTCTGGTCATAGCATCGTGTTCTGTTATATGACATTTGACAAGGTTAATTATTGTAAGCAAGTGTAAGCCTACCAATATTAGCAGGGATCACCTTCACCTTCCTGCACATTGCAAATATGAGCTAATCATGCAGAAATAGACTCCTCCGACTGTCAGATTGCCAACCGTAGCATAGTACTCGTCAATTCTTCCCTTTCGATCTACATGGCACTTCAGACATCCATCCTTCTGGAAGCCTTACTCTACAGTCATAATATATATCTTTTGAGTGTCGTATTGAGCGTTGGTACTGCCCCGTTACTAGAGGTCCACTTCATCGCGACATTAATCTCTATGAGACGTCTACAGATTCCTGCTCATCTTCCCGAGGTTTTGCAGCTCGCTATTAACTACATCCCGCTATGTGCTTCAGTGATCCTGCGACAATGTTGAGAATCGCTAACAAACGAGCAAATGTTTCGGCAAGATCGCTGCGGAACAGTCCGTCCTCATGTCAGAGAATAAGTCATTGACGGTTGGGCACTTTGCAAACTGCTATTATCGCAGTCTGAGGCATTAAGGTCTTGATGACTGGAAAGTAGTATATGAATACAATTGCATTTCTCCTACTCTTACAATGCCCGAATCAAGATCGTGGCTTAAGCTGATAGCTAATAATAACGAATGAATAGTTGGACCCGCTAAGTCCGGAGCGCCACCTGACGTCTTTAGCCCCGTACCAGTACCTGACGCCTGAACCCTGAGCTCCACTACCAAACCACGATTGCCTACAGGAATTGTTTCCTTCTCACAAGAAACTCTAGATGAGCATCCCTGCTTAGGCATCCTCATAACACTGTTGATAACCAGCGAGCAAACCGTCGCTTACAGAACTGCCTGCATCGCAAGTAATTATAAAGCAGCAAAATACACCGAAGAAATCGTCATGTCTCCGCCTCGCGAGATCACAATACCAATAACCTCCACCACCTCCGACGCAAAGCCATACACCCTCTATCACATCCGCGTTGCACAACCAAACTCCCTAAGACACAACATCCAGAAAAAGCGATACTCCGAATTCACCGATCTCAACACGGCTCTCCACAGCCAGACGGGCAGCTACCCACCCGCCTCACTACCGGCAAAGTCCTGGTTCGCACGCACAGTCAACAATGCCGAACTCACAGGAGAGCGCCGTCGAGGACTCGAGACATACCTGAAGGAAATCGAAAAAGCAATCGACTCAAAATGGAAGAACGCGCCTGCATACCGGGAATTCCTGGGTCTGAACGACGAAAGTAGCGCGACGGACAGGCTGAGCAGTGCTGTTGGCTCCTCCAAGACACCCGAGATCAGGACCGCAAGCGCCTGGCTCGACACGTATGCCGAGCTCAAGACGAAGCTCCAGCAAGCGCGTCTCTTCCTAACCAGGCGCGAGCAAGCCACGAGCCCAGCAACGCAGAACGATGCCTCCGTAAACGCGAAGAAATGCCTCATGCAGGCCTCCAGTTTCATAATGGCCCTGGAGTCTGGCCTTGCACTGCTGAGCGGGAAGAAAGGCACCACGGACGACGGGGGCTGGGCGATTGAGCGGCTCGGCGACGGCGAGATACGGCGGCGCAGAGACATGATTAGCACGGCGAAGAAGGAACGGGAGGGCCTAGACGGCGTTCTGAGTGCGGCTATACCGAGTAGGAACGCACATACGCCGCGTCCTGGATCGTCTTCTTCGTCAGGTCCGGCTCTCCAGGACGCCAAGGCTAGCCTGTTCCAGGGCAGCAGTATTGGACAATCGTCGCGGAGAGTGTTGGGTGCACCGAAGGAGACGGAGAGGACGCGGGAGTTGGATAACGAAGGGGTGCTGCAGCTGCAGAAACAGATCATGCAGGAGCAGGACGAGGATGTGTTTGATTTGACAAAGGCAGTGCGACGCATGAAGGAGATGGGAATACAGATCAACGAGGAGCTGCATGACCAGAACGAGTTACTGGAAATGCTGGATGGAGACGTGGAGCGCGTGGATGGCAAGATACGGATTGCCAACAAGAGAATGAACAAGATCAAGTGAGATCTCCTGAGTCGATGATGAGATTCTCTATGGAATGGATGGTCCAACACGACTGCATTGAACAGGCGTCTTTGTGCATTTCAGCGATCATCGTTATTAGCTTATGAGCCTTTTCAACTCTCAGGTCATCCACCAAGACCGCACATTGATAGTCTGGATGGTATAATATATGTAGATGTACAGATGGGAGTAATATATACAATGTAGGAATACGCTCAAGGCGATCATCCTGTCACCCATATGGAGTGGTGAAGCACCCAGGTAGTATGCCCAAGCCGTAAGAAACGCCGCGCTGATGCTCCTCTCTGCTACTGACTTCGCACCACATTTTACATCCTTTGCCATAGCCCCATATCATACAGTCTCCTTCCCTCTCCTTCTCCCTCCCTCAGCCCCCTAAACATTCTTCTCCATAAAATCCTTCGCCTCGTTGATCTTCGTCGCCAAATACGGACTCCCACCGCGATCAGGATGGTTCAGCAGCATCATCTGCCGATGCTTCTTGCGCACCAGTTCCTTTGTCGTGCCTCGCTCCCTACATCTCGTCAGTCACATCATATTCCATCGCATGTCCTGTCCGCAGACGTCTTCGTGTGATATCGCTCCGTGGCTGTACGTACTGTAGCCCCAGTATCAGCGCGGCCTCCCGCCGGTTCATCTTGCTCTCGAAGCCGCCCTTGTAGAACGCCTTGCCGAAGCCTGCGGAGCCTTTTGCGCGCCCGACCATCCATGCTCGGCCCTGTTGATGTGTTAGATGCGTGTGTATGTGTGTGCTAGCGAGCGAGCGTGAGAGCAAAGATGAAAGCGACAGAATAAAGAGCTGATGCTAGAGGAGATGTGGAGGGGAACAAGGACATACGACAAACGCAGCAGCCGCAACACCAACACCGATTGCAATCGCGCCGACCATGGTGATGCCCTGCTTTTCTTCCTGGGCTGCTCCTTCGGGGGACGACTGGCTGCGCGGGGGCGGGATCGGGCGATGCGCGAGGGACATGTGTATGTGGTGACGTTTACCAGGAGAGGTGACGCTTTCGAGAAAGTCGGAATCGCTACGATGTGCAGAGAATGAATGAGATGAGGTTTTTTTCCGGAGGACGTCCTAGATGGTTTCGACCATCGGGACGAGTAATTACTGCTTGGGCGGAGCGGAGGAGATCGCCCGTGCCGGAGCTTAGCCGCGGCCGCCCAGTCAGGTCCCCAGCTCGCGAAGAAAAAGTTGCATATCGATAAACTAAAACTACATCTTCACCGCACCCACGCACACACACTCAACGGCACTGCGTTGAGTCGTTCAAGATGAGGTAATTGCGCGCTTCTACTCATAATGGCCGTGAGAATGCCCTGCTAACCCTAAACAGGATCGAGACTTGCTATTTCTGCTCGCAGCCGGTGTACCCCTCCAAAGGTATATACATCCACACACACACACACACACACATCCAGCCAAAGACAGAGACCGAAGCCCACGAACACGAACATAATCTAACACAAACCTCCCAAACGCAGGAATAACATTCGTCCGCAACGACGCCCGACTCTTCCGCTTCTGCCGCTCAAAATGCCATAAAAACGTAACTCCCCCTTTGCCTCCCTTACTTTCCCTTTAATAAACCCCAAAACCCAACGAAACTAACTCACCTCCCCCCTCAAACAGTTCAAAATGAAGCGCAACCCCCGCAAACTAGCCTGGACCAAATCCTTCCGCCGCGCGCACAACAAAGAGCTCGCCGTCGACAGCACCCTCCTCTTCGCCGCCCGGCGCAACGTGCCCACGCGCTACAACCGCGACCTCGTCGCCAAAACCCTCAAGGCCATGGCCCGCGTCGCCGAGATCCGCAAGAAGCGCGAGCGCGTCTTCTACAGACGGCGCATGGCCGGGAATAAGGAGCGGCAGCGCGCCGCGGATCGGAAGCTGGTGCGGGAGAATCAGCATCTTTTGCCGGTGGGCATGAGGGATGAGGTTAGGAGGGTGTTGGAGGATGGTGATAAGGAAGAGGAGGTCGTGGGTATGGAGGTTGAGGGGCAGGAGGAGGTGCTGAGTGAGGTGGAAGTGGAGGAGGAGGAGGAGGAGGAGTTGAGGGTCAAGGCGCCGAAGAAGGCGGTTAAGAAGAAGCAGAAGCTTGTGCGCGGGAGCGGGCCTGAGGCTATGGAGGTGGATGGATGAACGTTGGAGCTGGAGCCGAGAAGAATATTTTTCCACGGTGTAGTGAGATCCCCCCCTTTTTCTCAGTAGTTGGCATTGCAAGGAGTTTTCGGCGCAGATTTGACGGGGCAACGGGGCAGAGCACCTCGGAAAGAAAAGACCGGGTTTTTCAATTGGCTTTGTTCTAGGTAGAGCCGCCCACATTCCCTAGCAGGACTACCTATATACACATGTGTGTACGTATGTGTATGGAAAGCCGTTGACTTTGACAAAAGCCGAGTACATCATATATATCGGACGTGCGTTGTAGTTCGATAATAGATCTACAGGCAGGCAGACACCCGTGTGCTATGTACAAGAGCAGCAAGATACGAGACGCGGTGGAACGGATCTCTCTTCTCTGCAGGAAACCTAGATAGTACAACAAAGGACGAGGAAAAAGCTGTAGATGTACAAGGCATCAACGTCGTGATTCCCGTGAGACACATCCTAGTAGCGAGCATGTACGCTCAAAACATGCCAGGCATGGATGGACAAGACCAAAATAAAAAAACAAGCACACTCCCCACCCACGCCAGTCGTAAACGTCCATCGTCAGTCCTTCATTTTCTTACATTGACCACCAGGGCTCTCATGGCTCTAATTTTACTTCTACGCATCAATCACTACCACTTCTATTAGTGCGTCCCATTTTCGCCGTTACTATTACCATTAAGTACCCCGGTCATGCCTATGCCGTCAAAGCCGCCTTCGCCCTGCATGTCTGCCCAGTCCCACTCGAGCGTCATGGGCATCTGCCACAACTCCTGTGGTACAAATGGTTGCTGGAACGAATTGCCCATATCCATACCACCAGGACCGGTACCAGGCGTGTTGGGTGAGTAGTTTGCGCCATTAGTGCCGTTACCGTTGGTCATAAAAGATGATGGAGGCATATCAGAAGAAGATGGCATGTTGCCCATGTTGCTGTCGCCGTTGATATCGGCGCCCCAGCCATGTAGAGAGTTGTGGGTAAAGTTGGGGGAGAAAGGGAATGGCTGTATGTTGTTAGTTATGTTTCCACGCCAGTAATCGCCATGATAATATGGTGAAACTTACCGGGTCCGACGTGTCCGAGTACGCACCGGGCGTCATGCCCGGCCCACTCGGCCCAAATCCGTTCCCATTCACTGGCGTCACAGGTGTGTTGAAGCCTTGCGACTGCCTTCTCTCGTTATTTTGCGGCGTAACGTGCGGGCGTGGCACGTCAAGATGCGGTGGTGCGGAGCCATTTTTAGATGCGTCTTTGTCTACGTGATTCTTCCTCTTGCGTCGTGATGAGGTTTCTCGATCAGCTTTTTCGCAAACAACCTTGGCAATGCGTTCAAATTCGGCGCACACGCTTAGCATGCGCTTCACGCTTGAGTCGGACTCGTACGAGAGCTTTGACAGGAAGCTGACGACGCTGTTCATGAGTTTGAGGTCTGAGCGTGTGCGGGTGTCTTGTGGATTTTGAAGGATGTTGGCGAACAGCGTGACGAGAGCGGACACGGGAAAGTAGATGATTAGCCAGACGCAGGAGAAGTCTCCTGCAGGTACGTATTTAATCAGATGTATCGATGCTCGAGCAGCTTGCACACAGAGTGTAGCTGATGAGAAGACTCTTGGGTTTAGTGGTCTAGCGTTCAGTCCTTGAATTGCGAAATTAGACAGTCTACTGGTCCAGTAGCCGTGGTGGACGGACATGCGGTGGATGGTGGTAAGGCAGTTGTAGTACGAGAAATGCAGTACGACAACATGTAGGACGAGCGGCGTGTGAGCAGCTTTGATCTCATGCTCTGGACGGAAATCCATAGGTATCCCGTCTTTCCAGTCTTCCAACTCTCTATCAAGTTCGCCAATCGTGTTCAGTAGCTCTCCATCAGACTGCTTAGCGGCCTTGCAGGAATATAAGCCTCTGTACACTTTGCTCTCGATTACAGCAAACGTGCACATCAACCTGAAGAGGTTGACTTTGCCTTTGCCGTCGGCTAATGGAATGTTGCCAATGTTGTCTGGCGGGTCTTCACTTGGCAGTTCAACATTCATGTCATCGTCATCCTGGATTGGAGGTCGTCCAGATCGTAGACATATATCGCGGTCGAGCATGTACGCTATCCAAAACACCCGCTTCCGTTGCTCGATCTCGCCAGGGCTGAGGTTAAACCCGGAGCCTCGCTTATGCAGGCCAATGCTGTGCGACAGGCGAATCGCAGCGGCAACTAGGAAGAATGACGGCTGCGGATTGGGTGTTCCCATCAAGAACAGAGCCATACCAAGGAGTGCTTGGACGCTGAGCAAGTCAGTATTGCGGATCGTTAGTTCCGACTGAACTGCCATGGCGTTCTTGAGATAGCCCCAAGCTTTCTGGTCTTCTTCCTGGGGAACAAGATTGCTCATGACGCGGAGTCTGTGAGCGATAGCCAGAGCCACATTAAAACTTGCCCACCAACCAGAGCCTTCATAGGGGTCGCGTTCATAATGCTTGTCCACCAAGTGCATAAAGGTGGGCTCATGGAATAATGGGAACATGCAGTTGAAGTTTTCGAAGAAATCCTTCAGCAGCGACAAAGCTTCATGTTTCGGTGGTAATTGTTTGTAGACTTTTCGGTCGAAGATGTCGCGGAACACGTCTGGTTTCCAATGAATCCACTTATTATCCTCGATAGAAGCAGTTGAAATCATCTCCTGGAAGGACGCGTCCCCCGTCTTTTCATTCACCCATTGTATGCCCTTCGGAGAGAAGATGGAGAAACCTGAAGATGAACCGATGTATCTCGTCTCGCCACAATTATTCGTCACAAGCGAGCACATCATGTCTGAGAGAGCTTCCACCTCTTCTTCTTTCCGCTCTGTCTCCGGTTGTGGCGTTTGTTCCTGCACAGACTTCGCTCTACCTGGCTGAGGTGATGTGACGGTGCTTTTTGGGCTTGCCACTGAGGGCGGCTTAGAAGCTGTCTTGGAGGTTTCTTGCATGCCTTCACTTGAGCTGGGTCGCGCATCAGTTAGAGACTCGTCTTCTCCTCCTGGTGAAGTGACTTTTGGAGATTTCTCGCTCGACTGTTTTGTAGTAGTACTGCTCTTTGCCTTCTCAACGAGACGCTTTTCCAATGTGCCCAGGTCTGTGCGTCCGTCGTCTTCTTCAGAGAGCAGACCGGAAAGGCGCAAAAGTGATTCCATACGACCTAGGCGGTTCTCGAGACCTTCGATATACTTGGCACTAGCATAAACGTTAGCGAGCATACAGTCATAGAACACAGAAACAGCATACCCCTTGGGTGGTTGCCTCTTCTTCTCCACTTGCGTAAAGACGCATTCTGTTTTGTAATTTTGGCAATGCGTACACGACGGCTGTTTGCCTGCGCACTGTCAGCGTGGCGAGGCAAGTGAGTGCGTGTGTTGACTGACCGTCGCACTTGATCTTCTTTCTCCTGCATTGGTCGCAGGCGCGAGCTATTCTCCTCCTCTTGGAATCACCTTGATCACCGCCCTCGTAGTTCAGATCATCTTCGTTGAACATGTTGCCAGAGAGGGAGGGGGGCATCTGGGTGGCATCCATGTCGTAGTTCCCAAAGATTCTCGGTGGCTGATTGACAAGAGGAGGTCCTTGCGGTAGACCGTGCATGAACGCGATGCCGTTCTGATCCATTGCTGAAGCGTCCATGTTCGCAATAGCTGGAGGCACGAAGGGGTCGATGAAGCTGGAGTGAAGCTGCAGACAGCAACAGCTGAACGTGTGAGAGAGGCGACGGTCGGATGGCAAGACGTATATTCGACAAGTACAACAAAGTCTGTATGTAGTGCTTACGGGCGGGACGTGAGGGGCGGTCGATGAATAATACAGGGCCGATGCCTGTCACCGAGTCGTAGTTCAGGGATAATGGGTATAACGCAATGGCGTTGCAGGACAAAGTGTGAAGCTATCAATCAACACGCGTAGTATCCGGATGCCGGCACCAGGATCAGAGACGAGGTAGAAAAGAAGGCGATTGAGTGAATGAAGTGAAGAGTGGCCAAAGGGACCGACCGGACGAAAGCGACCGGATCTGAAGAGAAAGTACTTCTTCACTCTAACCATTATTGACCAACCCAGCTAGGTAGGCGTAGGCCACAGCTAGCTATAATAGTACCTAGGTAGGGAGTAATAAGCAACTTTAGCTGGGTAGATGGGGTGATGATGCAGCTGCAGGTTCGTGGGTCTTCGGGGGGGTCTTTAGGGTGTTCTTTGGGGGGTTCTTGGAGGCTGGAGGGGCAGTGTTGGAGCTGCAGCTAATTCATACTACTAATTAGTAATTACAGCTGGAGTCTTGTCTACTGTATCTGGTATATAGATTGGATGGGCTATGATTCTCCTTCTTCACTGTTTCTCCAACTGTAAAATATACTCCTTTGATTTTCATGATGATGGTAGAATCTGGAGGCACAAAATGATCATCATGGTCCGATTTGGGGCTGTGCAGTCCACGGGTGACGGGTGCACCTCTTGGTCCCTCGCATGTTCCTCGCGTGGCCGCCCCTCTCCTGTATACGGTGAGTAATACCCAGGGGTCTAGAGTCTACCTACCTTAGACTACTTAATCATATATAATACACACACGTACGTAACTAGCACTGTAGGCCGCTTACCAGATCGGTTCATAACATGGAAGTCATCGTGTTGTTCAGCCTTCGTGTTGCCAGCACACGCCCAAGAAACCATCTAGTCATATTACAGTACTTTGACGTGGCTCTCTAGAATCCTAGCGGGCTGCAGCCTGAGGGTAACCTTATACATAGAGAAAAATGCATCCATCATTTACATATTTATCTTCACCACCTCCACAACCACCGTTGCGCCACGGGATACCATCAGTAGCGCCACAGAGAAGCTTGGACTTGGACTTCAAGCCTTGCCTTTGTCTCGTATCGCCTCGCCCTGCTCTCTACCCATGGATGCAAGGAGAAAGCTGAGGAGGTCCGCAGGTGGAGCTTGAGCTCGGCTTTAGCCCATGTCGGTCTCTCCAGCAATGCATGTGCCAATCACAAAGCTTCTTCTGACTCCCGCCACAACTGCATAGCCGTACAACTAATTGACTCCCTCTCTGTACGCGTCAACTCGTCTTTTCACAATCTCACACACCGTTCGACTATGGCAAATCCTACTCCTTTGACTGCTGCCGAGCTTCAAGCCCATCCAGAGTTCAAGCACGTTACCTGGGACCTCAAACCCGAGAAGAAGGAATCTGTCGCTGTGGCCAATGGTCGTGGAGGCCCTATCAATATCGCATATGAAGTCCATGGCCATGGTGATATTCATCTCGTGGTAAGTATGCGTTATAGAAAAGTCCAATACCTATAAGAAGCGACGTTATAACCTTTGCGTAACGTTGCTTGTTCTGGCGAACATCTTTCCGAGTCTCGCGTTTCAACACCTCGTTTGCATGTCATACATATCTTTATATCGTGTCTCAAGTTCCTGCACTGCCTCATGATTCCCGTTTGGACATTCCCATGCACGGAACGAGCTATCAAATTTCATTCCATGCCTATACTCTTACCACTCATTCATGCACTTACGAAGACACATCCATCATGCATTGGTCAACACATGTAACTAAGCCAATCCCAGTGGGTAATGGGCCTAGGCGCCTTCAAAAGCGCCTGGCAACGTCAAACCAAAGACTTCGCCCATACCCAGGCCTCCAAATACACATCCCTGATCTTCGACAATCGCGGCATGGGCGAATCCGACAAGCCACTGGCCCGCTACTCGACCTCTGACATGGCTCTCGACGCCATCGAACTTTTGGACCATCTCGGATGGACAGGCAGGCGACAATGCCACATCATCGGCATTAGCATGGGCGGCATGATTTCGCAGGAGATTGTGCGTATAGGTAGTCCATAGCACGACATGAAACGGTCTTGACGTGGCATGCAGGCAATCCGCATTCCCTCTCGCATCGCATCACTTTCGCTCGTCTCTACAGCGCCGCGGCTCGTCAACACGGTCGGCTTTGTTGAGAACATCCGCAATCGCATCAACCTGTTCATCCCGCGCCACATCGACGAGCAACTCACACGCGTGAAGTACAACTTGTTCACTGCCGACTGGTGCAACGCGCCAGACGAGCACGAATACACGGTCAAGTCGTTCCCGACCAACGGCGATCGTATGATGGCGTCGGAAATCACGAAGCGCAATAACACGGCACAGTTCACACGGCGCGGCTTCCTCTTACAGATCATCGCGGCCGGATGGCACCACAAATCGGATGCTCAGTTGAAGCAGATTGGCGACGAAGTGGGGAGGGAGAGAATCATGGTTGTGCATGGGACAAATGACAACATGATCACTTTTCCGCATGGCCCGATGCTATTGAAAGGGCTAGGGGGTGAGGAAGGAGGCGTGACAAAGAAATTCATTGATGGGCAGGGACACATGGTAAGCTTCCATCATATACGATATGTTGATGTGGGCAATTGCTAACCGGTCTCCATAGCTACCGGCGGAGATGAGGAAGGAATTCAATGGATGGATCGAGGATCTGGTGCGGAGAGGTGAAGAGTTGAATAGTAAGAGTTGATGGTTCCAATCGACACTGGGCAAAGATAAAGGCTGATGTCCAGAATGATAGACGCTAAGTTGATATAGCACAACTAAGGTTTTCAACGCTAAGCTCGAAAATAATTGACACAAATCTATATCCACGTGACCGTCTCCTTCTCCCATGACACCACACGCATAGAATTACCACTGACTGAGATGACCCGACGAATTGGACTCGGAGACGACTGATGTCGAGGTCTATTTGATCCTCCATGGTCCCTACTGTTCATTCATCTGCATTACATGCACACAGTCCGTTCCACTTCCCACTCAGCCGTACCAATTTTTGAGACTTACTTCTGCTCGGGCAGTGGTCTTTTTCGCCTTTCGTACAGATACAGTGGACATTTCTGTGGATCGGAGATGAGGTATTTTGACCGGGATAGTCCCGTTCTTTCCTCGCATGTCGACAAATGACGTTGCGCCAAGATTTCAGGCGGTCAGGCGCGTACATATTGTTTCCCGTTCTGGCTATTACCAGAAAACTTTGCTTCGTCGCCCCGCACCCGTTCCTTCCTAGATTGTGCTGTGGAAGAGGGGACTTATGTATAGTGATTATATAGCGGACAAAGGATCTCGTTCCTAGTTACACCTGATGTGAATAATGGCATCAAAGAGCTCTGTCGTAGATATATTGCAGCTGTGTATTGTAGAATTAGCCTTATGCTGCAATACACTGGACTTGCCGGCATCATCCCTGCACTTAATAGCCGAGTGGAGCCAACGTGTGGAAGCTTGAGCTAGTGCACGCTCTGACCTTTTTCTTATATATCCCCATAATACATCTTTGCATATTTTCTCCGCATTCCTGCCATTCCTTGGTCTTTCTGCCTTTTTGTGCGTCTGTTTGAGTCTTGTTTTCAACTACATAGACCCATCATAATCACGAAAGATAGGCAAAAGTCTACAGGAATGGCGAGAAAAGAACCGTGGTGGAGGATTCATCTCTGCCAGGGCATGATCAATGATGTGAGACGTCGCGCTCCGTACTATGTGAGCGACTGGACAGATGCGTGGGACTATAGAGTCGTACCGGCGACTGTATACATGTACTTTGCAAAGTAAGACCTGTTCAACTATGCAAGGACGGACACTGACGTTCTCTCAGTATCTTACCAGCTCTCGCATTTTCTCTCGACATGTTTACCAAAACCGCAATGAGCTTTGGCGTCAATGAGGTTCTGCTTGCATCTGTTCTCGGTGCTGTCGTTTTTGCTGTCTTTGCTGCTCAGCCACTGGTCATTGTTGGCGTCACAGGTATGTCTCCTTTTCCGTAATGCTGCTCATCCATCTGACTCCTGAAGGACCCATCACGGTCTTCAACTACACAGTCTACGACATCATGACACCGAGGGGGACGAATTATTTTGCCTTCATGTGCTGGATTGGCATGTACGTCTGCCCCCCCCCCCCCCCCTATTCACAATTGACCCAGAAAGAGACTGACACAACTACAGTTGGTCCCTGATAATGCACACCATTCTCGCCATCACAAACTCCTGCAACGCCCTCCGCTACGTAACCCGTTTCTCATGCGACATCTTCGGCTTCTACGTCGCCCTGATCTACCTCCAGAAAGGCATCCAGGTCCTCACCCGCCAATGGGCCTCCGGCGACGCCTCCGCCTACCTCTCCATCGTCGTCGCTCTCCTCGTCACCGCCGTCGCCTACCTCTGCTCCCTCATCGGCACCAGCTCCCTCTTCCACCGCGTCGTGCGCAAATTCATCGAAGACTACGGCACCCCGCTCACAATCATCTTCTTCACCGGCTTCGTGCACATCGGCCGCATGCGCACCGTCGAAACCGAAAAACTCCCCGTCTCACGCGCCTTCTACCCAACCCAGGACCGCAGCTGGCTCGTGCCCTTCTGGGCCGACATCAGCGTCCCAGACATCTTCATCGCCCTGCCCTTCGCCCTCCTCCTCACCATCCTCTTCTGGTTCGACCACAACGTCTCCTCGCTCATCGCCCAGGGCACCGAGTTCCCCCTCCGCAAACCCGCCGGCTTCCACTGGGACATCTTCCTCCTCGGCATCACCACCTTCGTCGCCGGCCTCCTCGGCATCCCCTTTCCCAACGGCCTCATCCCGCAAGCCCCCTTCCACACCGCCTCCCTCTGCGCCACCCGCACCATCGCCTCCTCCTCCTCCTCCCCATCACCCACCAAACCCGACCATCCCCACACCACTAAACGCATCACCTCCCACGTCGTCGAACAGCGCGCGTCAAACCTCGCCCAAGGCCTCCTCACCCTCGGCACCATGACCGGGCCCCTCCTCACCGTCCTCCACCTCATCCCCCAGTCCGTCCTCGCAGGCCTCTTCTTCACAATGGGCATCCAAGCCCTCCAATCCAACCCCATCACAACCCGCATCCTCTACCTCCTCACCTCCCGGCCCCTCCTCCCACATGGTTCCCCCCTAAACTCACTGTCCCGCCGCAGCATCGCATGCTTTACCGCAATCCAATTGCTTGGCTTCGCGGCTACGTTTGCGGTCACGCAGACGATTGCCGCGGTCGGGTTCCCGTTGGTGATTCTGGGGCTTATTCCGTTGCGGACGTGGGTTTTGCCGCTGTGGTTTGTGCGTGGGGAGTTGATGGTCTTGGATGAGGCGACGGCGAGTGCGTTTACGATGGTTAGTTGTGGGGGGATTCATGGGGCGAGTGGGACCGAGGTGGGGGACGAGGAGGAGGTGGGAGAGGGCCGGGACGTGGAAAGCGGTGGTGGAGGAAGCGGGTCAGGGGAGAAAAGGGGGGAGGAAGGAGGGGTTGTGAATAGGGGTGGATTTAAGGGGGATGCAGGAGAGGCCAAATGAGAGAGGTAAAAAGTTGCATCGAAGCGAGCAATATAGCCATATTGGATAATGTATTAATTCTTCGTCCACTGGATCAATGTTCTTATTACGGAACAGACAAAAAGGTGGGTATCTGGCGATGGAACGACCAGGAAAGAACACAATCACACGCCTGCTTTTAGAAAAAACGCGTCCAGTCCTTTACAGACCCAGCCATGAGACGAGTCAACGACTACAACCGCCGCAACACCATGAATGCATATTCCCACCTCTATACCTGCCAGGATCGCCGCCTGTCAGTCCCCGTCTCCCGACAATGGTCCCTCAATACGGCGGTACAGCCCTCTCTCCGACCGCCGCCTCGTCGCCATCATCCCCAACATCAATCGCCTCCAACAAGCCCGAGAAATCAGGCCGCGGCCCCGTCATCGTGCTCTCCCTAGTGCGCGTCTTCGCCACGCGCATACTACCCTTCACGCTACCCTTCACACTGCCCTGTCTCAGGCTGCGAGCCTTCTCACCACCAGCATTTCCCCTCGACACAACGCCCTCGCCACTGCCATTGCTATTGCCAATAGCCTCACTCCCAGGCGCCGTACCAGGTCTACTGCGCACCGGACTGGCCGCTGCGCGAAGATTGGCGGGCAGCGGAGGCACAGGCGGGACAGAATCACGCTCGCGTTCACGCATGTACTCTTGGATGTTTTGCTCGACTGTGATACCGCTAGTATTTCCGCCTGCGTTGGGCAATGGCGTGGCCTTTGGCGTGAGATCCAGCTCGCTCGGTTGGCCTGCCGTCACAAATGACACCTCACTGGCCGAGAAATCTGCGCTGACCATGCTCTCGCTCGTATCGTCGTCGGTCGGATCGAGCTGGCTGCGCGCGAGCCCATGTACAGGGAAGCTGACACGTGTCGAGCCTGACAGAGCGCGTTTGAGGTCTGTAACCGTGGTGGCGGCGTGTGTGTCGGTAGTAGTACTCGTCGCAGTAGAACGGTTTTCCTTATCCCCGCGATCCTGACGGTTCCGAATTGACGCTGTATTCGCACCTGCTGAGCGACGACGTGCGGAGCGCTTCGTGGACGAGTGGACTTCGATGTCAGAAATATTGCCGCCAGGTATGTTGACTGCAAGTAGGTTCTTGCCTGAAGAACGCGCGCCTTTGGAGCCGGATACAGACGCGGAGGAGTCTGAATCCTTTGCAGTGGCTGCGATGGTTGCTTCTTTGGTCCATGGCGCGAGGAGTTGGTCTTTAATGTCTGTAGGAAGATCATCGGCGGAGGAGCGTGAAGTAGGTGCAGCGAGGATCGGTGTGGAGAAGGAACGACCCGGAGAGCCAGGTGGGCTAGTAGGCGGGGAGATGAGGGTGCCACTGTAGCCTTGAATGATGATGTCAACGAGGCCATCACGGTCGTCAAAAAGGCGTAAGTCGCCAGAGGAGGCATAGGCGCCCTGGCCATTGCTAGCACGGGAGTTTGAGCGGATGCTGTCGAGCGATGATGGGGGGACGCGTACGCCGTTACCCCAGAGTGAGGATTGATTGCGACGGGCGATTTCGCGCGATATGTTGTTGCCAATCTGGGAGTTTTGAAAGTCGAAGTGGACGCTGAGCCCCCAAAGATAGCCGTGCACAAGACTGCCCAGGTGGACTTTTGATTTCATATCTTGTGTCGTCTTGATGTCGTCCTGGAGCCGCATGATCATTGGCAGACCGTAGCGGAGGGCGTTGAGTCCAAGGTTCTGAACGAGAGACGTTAACAGCAGATGGAGCATCAAGATGTCGGGTTCAGAAGTGACATGCTGGTGGGCATTCTCGTAGATCGCCAGATGAAGCAAAGGTAGAAACGTTGAGTTCTTTGCAGGGCGAGGAGAGCGCTCACGGTGCGATGCGTTGGAGACGGCTCTCCTGACGAGGCTTTGTGCGCGTTCGACACTACCGCCTTGCTGTGGTATTCCCCTCCCTCTTGTCACACGGAGACTGCTTTTATCTGTTTCCTTTTCCAACCACGTGAGCAGAGCCTCGATGTATGCTTGCCGGACTTGGAGGGAGGGATCTCTGAGAAGCCACTGTGTGCCGTTCCAGACATCTACACCCACTGATCCTCGACCTGCACCTCTGCCTCCAATCTTGGAATTGGCGACGATCAAGATTTCTCGGATTGCCGCAAGTGCAATCAGCCTGGCATTGTCGAAAGAGAAAAAGCTGGAGGTTCGGGGTTCGGAACTGGACGAGTCTGTGGTGGCTACACTGCTCTCCAAATTTGAGGGCTTGAGTCTTGATAATATCGTTGTGATCATGTCCGAGATCTGATCTGCATAGTATACGTGCGTTGCAAGCATCCCTATTGATGTCTGCAGTGTCGAGAGAAGTAGTTGTCTGGTGAAGGATGGCTCGACAGCAATCTCAATGACTGGATCTGAGTTTCCTTCAGACTTCTCTTTCATAGCGTCTTTCGATTCGCGAACAGGATTGATGGCGTCAGATTGTTGATGATGTGGTCGTAATGCTGTGCTCTGCCCTCCAAGCTGCAACAATAGAAGCACGTGCTGGATGAAGCCAATGAGCACATCCATGATACTGAGCCCTATGAAGCTGATGTTGGAACTGAGCAAAGATTGGATCATGCTCGCAAATATCAACTGTTTTTGCAGATCTTCTTCCACGATCGGACTGCGTACTAATGACTCTACCGCACTAACCAGTACCACAAACCGATCTTGGACAGGAGTCCAGCCGCATATCATGGCAAACAGGGCATTTGGCCAGCTGCTGATCTGACTGGGTCGGTGTTCGTGATGTGTAAGTGTTTCATGTGTTCTAGAGCGATTTGCTACGAATGTGAGTACCGTACTCGTCGCCAATCGTAATTGGCCACGGTTCACGACGGTGAAGACGTTCCGAAGGGCTTGGAGTGCAACAATCCCAACCTCAATCTCGGCAAGCTTATCGGCCTCTGCGGTAGTCCCAGACGCAGCGACTGGATCAGCCTCATCAGTTCCTGCTGTCTGAACGGTTGAAATGCTTTGTCTTCGCCGAAGGCCTTGCTCTTTTTCCTGTACCTCCTTCTCTTCCTCACGCTCCTGCAGTTCTTCCAAGTCTTTCCCATTATGCGAATACATGTTCAGGAGGATGGCGGGAATGATCACGGTTAGCTGTCGACTGGTCTCAGATCCGAGAGCTTCTGAGGCTGCGACTGCTTTGATCGCCTCTAAGCCGGCCTTTCGAAATCTTATTGCGACAGGCCAGCTTATTGAAGATTTTCCAGCGCTAGTTGTTTCCTTTGATGCGAAGTCTGCATACATTTTGACGATCTCCTCATATTGCGCAATGTAATCCTGGTCTGCCGCAAGTGTGATTGGGTCCTGATGAGCACATAATGCTTCCCAGGTTGGGACTGAATCCTCAACCATGTTGACATCATTGGATTGAAGTATCGTTCGAATCGAGTTCAGAATGGCACTCCGGTAAAGTGGAAGATCGCGTGGACATTTCTCGATCAGTGCCTGGAGAATTTCCAGGGTAACTTGTACATTTCTGAAGCTACGTCAGCGGGTGTAGCATATGGGATTCATGATTTCCTACCCGATGCGACCCTTGTAGACATCGCTTACTGTCTTCCTATCCAGAAATTCAGTGACTTTGGTGAGTTTGCTGCGGCGTGTACTGGCGTAATAAAGGAGGTAGCTGAGTTCTGATGAATTGGGTTTCGCTTCGACGCTGTTCTTCTGCAGTCGAGGATAGCAATCAATGATCAGTGCCTGATGCTTTGGCCGGAGCCTTCGCCGTACGCCTTGCATCGAGCACGCACTTCAGCGAATATCTGGTATTACGATTATATGTGGAGGAGGGTATAAGGGTGGTAATCGGAGAAGAATCAACGGCGAATGGTGAGAAGCAGCAGTAGCAGCGGAGGGTTCGGAAGGCGAGAGATTAGCAGCGTCGACAGGTAAGGCATGTGTAAGACAGCCACCAGGAATGCAGTTGGACAAGTGAGCAGTTTCTGGTGATGGTAACAATGAGGATACAGATGAGTGAGGCGATGTGTTGTTCAGTAGGCACCCGTAGGATTAGGACTGGGTAGGCTAAGCTTCGTAATGATATTATTTAATTATTCCTCCCAAGGGACGGTGATGCGATGGGAATGGATCCCCAGCACTTTCAGGCCTCAACTTCCCGCAGTCCAGGCGGATTGGCGGCCACTTACGCCCATTTTAAGCCTACGCAAGCCCACGCCCGGGTGCATACTCCGCTAACTAGTTCTTAATTAGGCTACCTAGCTAGGTACAGTCATAATTACCCCCCCAAGCCTGGAATGGATTGCCCACCCACCATCGAAAAAGACTGTGATGTTTCAAAACACCATGCCGGAACTATTTCCATCATCTCTCTCTTTATATTCTCCACCAAGTCGCTGTCGATCGCCCTCCAGATCAAGCTGATCCTTCTGCTCAAATACCATCACCACCTCCTCCTCTTTCTCCTCTCTTCTGGCTACTTCAGCCCTTGAGCTTGGCTATATGTGTTATCGTCGACGGCCTCGGCTTTACTCTGGCATCACATTGAACACATGCTCACTCGATATGCCTCAACAGCTTCAGCCACATGGGAAGATGCTTTTCGGCTGCACTCTTTGTCCTCTGAATACCACTTCGACTATAGCTTATTGCCTACATACGCTACAGCTGTAGTCTCTTTCAATTACCGATGAACTTATCCCGGCTTATGCTCAATTGACTGCCCTGACTTTACCAGTCTCAACCTCATACACCCATCCACTGACGGCTACATCGTCTGGAATGGCAGCTGAGTTATTTAAGAAAGCCACGTCATCCCTGACGCCTTGCTCTAAGCTATGGACACATGTTAGGCACGGCTCGTGCTATCAACTCCTTGATCACATACTCTGGGAAGGGTTGGAAGTCTAGTCCTCCTAGCTCTTTGACTGCTGCATCACCGAGCTGTTTCTGGACCACAGTATGCGCATCCTCGTTTTTGAATGTCAGCATGCCACATCCTGTGATATCCTGTCAGCTCAGAGTCCAGGGTGCATGCTGGTCTCGCCAGATCTCTTACCAGTGTGCTTGATAAGAAGGATCTCCTTGGTTCCTTTTTCAAGCTGTGAGCTTCAACTTCGCATCGCATGGGTGGCGGATTGACCAACCAAGCAATTGCTCCGAAATGATCAAGCTACGAAGAGCATCTAGGTAGCTACCATTAGCTTCAGTGTTCAAGCTGGCCTGCCAAGCTTCGTCACCTTTCGCGTTTCCTCCAGCATTTCTGATAACGTGCGCATCACCCCTGTGGAAGGTCAAAAGGTAAACACAACCGTAATGGATAGCGAATCGTACAAATCGATTCCATATGCAGCAGCAGGGTCGATTCGAGCATCCATGCAAGTTACTCCATCCGATTAGCGTCCGAGGAGGCACATTTAGGCCATCCAGGTACTCACCAACGGCATACTTCTTCGCTAGGTATATAAGTCAGTCCTAGTCAACTCCTCCGAGCCTCATTCTTTTACCTGGTGGCAATGCAAGGTCACCTTTGGTGAAGGTCGACGCATATTGTTTGTTCTTCTCCGTCAAGTTGTTCTGAATCACAGTCATGATGTCGGTCCTCACAACGTCCTCCGGTCGAGTTTATTACACCGCAGTCAGGATCGAGAAATTTAGGCAACAAGGGGAAAGATGAGCATCTATGGGTGCTTCGACTCTATATGTACCGTCTCTGTATGCGCCCTCCTGCTATCACGACCCTTCCCGAAGGCACCTGAGGAGTGAGGGGTAGACCGAACGAACGGGACTAGCTGGTGTATTTCCTCAACCATTGATGGAATGACGCGATCATGGACCAGTCAACCGTGTGGAAACTCTTTATGATATGCACGAACATCGTGTATGCATGAACATCTGTTCCGAGGAAGTCCAAATATGTATCTTCAGAAGTGTTCGGCTTCTTAGCATCCGCCTTGATGAAGCCGGCTCTTATCTGGGAGATTATGGTCCGACCGTCCTAGTACGAAGTGACAACAGAGTATAAGCTTCCACGGATAATACATCTTTGCCATGGGCACTATCCATGTGCTGCACTGTATCCTACAGCAGGGCATGAACACAGTTCCTTCCATACTTTTGGACTCCCGTGCAAGGCTATCGAGTGGAACTGGAGTGATAACCGTGGTACACTGATGCTACAGATTTCCCTAGACTTGCGGAGCGAACTCCGTGTCAAAAGAGAGAATGGTTCGGTGCGTAGCTTTGTGTCAGTACTGGAAACAAGTCGTTCGACCAATCAAGGCAGAATTTCTTTAGCGCCTGGGTGTGGCTGAGTCACAACGTCGAACTGTACAGAACAAAGGCAACAAGGTACCTGAACAATGATGTGGAAACCTTGGATACGGAAGCGGCGCCTAATGACACAGCGCCTACCCACACTTGGCACAGCCTCTGTCATCAGTATAAGAGTGACCCTGTGTGTCCCAGGCTGCGTGAAATCATTCAGAAGCGTCAACATTACTTCTTACCTCACTCAGCACCACAACTGTTTCATCATTTGCACCAACTTTCATATTTCCAACGTGCCGTCCCTATCACGATGACAAACCCGATGCTTAGCGTTGTCATGGAAGACGTATCCGCAGGGGTCCTCGAGGTCATCGTGGGCACACCCGAGAGCCGACATGAAGTGTTCCATGTCGGTAAATATCTGCTCCAAATCCACTCTGGGTATTTCGAAGGTCTCTTGAAAGACTACAAGGGAGACACGCTCCTATGCAGAGTAGATCCGGCCTATTTCAGATTCTTCATACAGTATTGCTTGACCAAAAGCAACAAAACACTATCAGACCATGTAATGAACGAAGAAGCCCATTACCTGTCTTGTGTCAAGTCCTATATCACAGCTCTGTACCTGCAAGCAGATGGTTATCAAGCATATCTCAAGAATGCCCTCTTCTCCGGGCTCGATCAGGTGGAATTATCGGCAAGAATGATCTGCGAGTTACTGTTTGTTGCTTACACACTTAGTATTGAGGACAAGGTTCGCCAGCGGATACACTGCTACGCTTTCAGACGTGTGGACCGCCTTCGGTCAGATCCAGCTTGGCAGCAACTGAAGAGGTATCGCCCGGGAGCCATCATTGGAATACTTTATTCACTTTCCCGCAAGAAGTTCACTGTCAAAGACCCTATGTTACGCGGAGTCAAACAAAAAGAGGACAGACTCGAGCTGCCAGGAACAGTGGTATGCAATGCTCTACGAGTGGCTCGCGCACCAGATACGAAAGAGCATGTTCGACAGCGGACGCACTTCTACGCATATAAACACGTGAAGCGTCTTCGTATGGATCCAGCTTGGAAAGAATTGGCACGCGACTGCCCTGAAGTTATTATTGCGATTCTCTATTCGTTATCGCCATACGCAGCTAGGTTCAACGGAAACCCGGTTGGGAAGACAGTTTTGATATAAGTCTCTGGGCAAAAACAAACACGACCGCATAGTTAGGATACATAGTACGCAAGTGACACATTCACCTGACGATCTAATCTCATTCACCCACAGATCCTTGTATAGACCGCTTCTGGTTGCTTTGTTCACCTGGTCGAGACCAACAACCAAGTTTTCAGGGCCTAAATATTGCGAAGCAACACCACCACACCCATCACACGACCCGCGTCACAACTCCATCACACCTGACTCAAGGGCAACACAACATCTCACTTACGACACTGTCGATCGTATCGTACCGAAAAGAGTTAAAGCGGACCATTCAAGAATATAACGCCGTCGTTATGGATCATTCGGAGTCTAGCAATTCTACGGTAGAAAGTTCAGAGCGGAACGAGAGCAGCGACGTGGAAAGCTCAGCGCACCACGATAATATGGAGGTTGCCAAGTATCACCCCATGAAGATCTCTTAATTGACAGTGCTGAAACGTTCCAAGCCCATCACCCTCGGAACTCGTCACCATCCGCGTAACATCCAAGCTGCACGAACACGCCGTGCCCGCGCAATCAGACTTCGTCATGCACACCGCCCTCGCCAAACAATACTCGGACACCTTCAAACTCCTCCTCGAAAGCGACCCTGCCGAGCACGTCAGACGCCTCATCGAACTACCAAACGTCCACCCAGACATCTTCCTCTACTTCGTCGACTGCGTCTACAACAACGGCGCCCTCCCCACCCACCCCTCCTCCTCCTCTCCCAAGTCTACATCCTCTGCGAGACCCTCCAAGCCCGCGTCATCAAAGCCCTCGTCTTCGCCAAATTCGTCAACAACCTCCTCCTCATCGGCCCCCGCTCCAAGGCCGTCATCTGCACCATCCTCAAACTCGTCGTCACCGACCTCCCCGAGTTCCCGGAGGATCGCACCGGGCTCCGCTCGTTGATGCTGACGTATACGTATCTGCACCGCGACTGGCTGAAGGATTGCCCGCATTTTGTCGCCGTCTTGATGGAGGTGCCCGAGCTGGGCCGCTGGATCTTGTGTAGTCGTGATCCGTCGGAGGTGTATCGTAGGCCGGTCTGGGCTTAGATTGCTTGGGATTCAAGTAGGCTAATGGATGCGTGCAAAGATTTTGGGGTGGTGCACTTGTGTGACTTTATGTGACTGCGTGCGTGAATGATGGATTCGGAAAGAGGGCTTTTTGGTGTTTTATGTGTGGTGTAGTTTTGAAACGCACAGTTTCCTGCTAGTCGGCTGAGGATTCGACCAGGCTGAGCATGCCATGTTTGCCATGTCCATTACAGCAGTATGTAGATTGGCCCATAGCGGGTCGTCGTCAGATACTATAGGCAGTAGAGCTTCTCGGTGATTTCATACGCTGTATAAACCTGAAAACGGATAGAGTGGTGAGGATAAGGCTGTTTTAAAGTGATCTGTCGATAGCATTCAGCTTGAGCAAGACGGCAAAAGGAGGTTTCTAGGCACCTCACAACATGATTTTCGGGTACATGTCTGGGGAGTGAAAGGATATATCACGTACATAGCACAGTAGGATTTTGTTATAGATTCAACCAGGAAGGGGATATAGAGAAGCCATCTATCAAATGCTGAGATAATCGTATATGCAAGCTATTTCCAAATGTCCCCTCGCCGGGCGGGATTGTGGGAAAGATGCGGAACGGTAAATCTAGAATACAGTAATAACCCGGGTCCGTCTATTCGCTTACTTCTTCTTGCCCTTCTTACTGGCCGCTGCTCCAGCTCCAGCTCCAGCAAGCTTCTTCTGTGCCTCCTTCTCCAGCAAGGCGAATTCTGCTTCGTCCTCGAACGGAACTGTGGACAGAGCCCTGAGCTTGGGTAGGAACCTTCCGACCTTTGCTTGGTAGGTCTTGTACTCGGGGTACTTTCCAGCCGTGAGCAACTCGGTAAGCCATGTGCTGGCCTGGAATAGGAAGAGGTAAGACAGAGCACCAATGCCGGCCCAGTTGTAGTATTGATCGGTTGCGAAGCATGACCACTGGTAGAGCACGACCCAGATGGACTGCTCTGCAAGGAAATTTGGGTGGCGTGAGAAAGACCATAGGCCAGTCGAGATGAAACCACGGTCCAGGTCGGACCGAAGATAGCCAGGAGGCACCTTTGCCGTTTCTCGGTATTGCTTCTTGGCACCCTGGTAATCTGGATCTTGTTAGTACGTGGACAGAACAATGTCCTGAAACACCTACTCCACTGTTGTTGGTCCGCGAAGAACTCAAGAAGTACTAGTCCCATCAGAACGCGTGCAAAAACGATGTCCGAGAAGCTCATGTCGGGCTGGCTATGTTTGGCGGCAATCATGAGAACATATGTAGGCATTGTGATCATCATCAACAGAATCTGTGAATGGCTGTCAGAAATGCAAAAAATAGGTCGCCCAGGGATTACTCTTACGCTCTGTGCCAATGAAATGAAGACCACGTTGAAAATAAACATCAACGCAGGCCCAACTTTGTTCTTGACGATTTCCCATCGATAGTCCTCGGAGCCAATCTGATAACCTCCTCTTCGCCAGTAATTGAAAGTGAGTCGTAGCTGTACGAGAGGTCAATTCTGATCAATATCAACAGAGGAACGATGCGACCTACACTCCAGACAACAGAGAATGCGAGTAGGTTATCCAGTCTTTGAGTGGGGAGTCCATTGAGATGTGCCCATAGTGCATAATGCCCGTTGTAGACAGCTGGTAGGATACTCCACACGCGATCGACTTGACTGTAATTCTTGTTGATTTCGCTCAGAAGAAGAAAGATAGGCGCCAGAGCAAGGGCAAAGGCAATCGCGGTGATGAGAGGGTTCGTGTTGGTGTAAATTTTGACCAGATCATCGGTATTGCTGATATGAGCCCATACTTGCTGAGGCAGCGTTTTGAGCTGGGGGACGAACGGCGCGACGGTCTTCGTGTAGCTTGTGCAATCGGCGAGTGTCTTGACAGCGGGAAGGGCGCTGGCAAAGAAAAGCATACTGCTCTATGTGTGGCGTCTCTGCACAAGCTGCAAAGACGTGGAGGTGTGGATTCAAGTTAGAAGGGTGGGAGTGTGTGTGAATCCAACGTGGGAGAGAGATGGAAGCAGTCCTAAGAAGCTTGAATAGAAAGTCGTATCATGAGGTCATTTGTAGGAGAACTTTAGCGGCTGCCCGGCTAGTCTTAGGCTGGAGCGTCGGTGGATCTGCAGGCATCAAGGCTCCTTCCAGAGCGAGATTGGGCGCGACCCGTTTGAAAACAACGCGAGATTTCATCAGCAGCCGAGAACATCAGAAAACACGTCGTCACATGCCCGATTGCAATAAATCGGTCTCGTAGCCGTTGTATCGATTGGCGACTGATCCTATGTCTTAGGATATTATATCATAGTAATGCGCATCTTATGCGTGGCTGAAAAGCCGTCTATTGCGAAAGCAGTAGCAAATCATCTAGCAGGGCGTGTAGTCACGGTTTGTGGCCATAGCCCCTTGAGATACTGACGACTAACAACATTCGTCAAGCATAATGTCAATGGCACACCATACGTGAAGAACTATTGTTTCGATTACAACTTCCGGCAATGGGGACAGAGCAGCGTCACCTTTACCAGTGCTCAAGGGCATATCACCAGCTCAGACTTTGGACCCAGGTATAAGAGCTGGCAGTCATGTCTACCCATCGCTCTATTCGAAGCTGACATTAATACGACTATTGATGATGTGAGCAGTCTAGAGATGGCTACTTTGTCTGAACCCTCCTAACACGGCACAGAAAATGAAGCCGGTTGCAGAGAACATCAGACAACAATCTCGATATGCGCAGATTGTTTTCATCTGGACCGACTGTGATCGTGAAGGCGAATACATCGGATCAGAGATCAGAGACCTTGCCGTTGCAGCAAAGCCTGGGATCCAGGTCAAAAGGGCACGATTTAGCAACATCGAAAGAAAGTAAGTGAGTCTCGATGATGGTATACTTGCGGGACCTGATAGTATATAGCCATGTAATCCAAGCTGCTGGGAATCCTGTTGACCTGGACGAACGGCAAGTCCAGGCAGTCGCTGCGAGGATTGAGCTCGATTTCCGCTTGGGAACAGCCTTTACGCGAATGCAGACACTGGCATTAAAGCCACTGGTGGAGCAAGCAGATCCAGGCTACAAAGTCATAAGCTATGGTACGTGATGAATCGGCTGTTCATGCAACATACTGATGTATTTAAAGGATCTTGTCAATTTCCGACGCTTGGCTTTGTGGTTGATCGATATCTCCGTGTCAAGAATTTCAAACCGGAGCCTTTCTGGTACATCAAGGTTTCCCACAAGAAGGACGATATAAACGTCAATTTCACGTGGTCCCGTGGTCATCTGTTTGACCGCATGGCCGTCACCATCATGTTCGAGCGCTGTCTGGCGGCGAAACAAGCCAAAGTCGTCGAAATGTTGACCAAACCCACGAGCAAATGGCGGCCACTGCCCCTTACAACGCTAGAGTTGCAAAAATGTGGAAGTCGATTCCTGCGGATGACTGGTCAGGAAGTCATGAAACACGCAGAAAAGCTGTACACGGCTGGCTGGATCAGCTACCCTCGTACCGAGACTGATCAATTCAGCAAAGACATGGACCTCAAGAAGCTCGTTGAGAAGCAACAGCAGTCACAGCAGTGGGGTCAATATGCCGAGATGTGAGTACAACGCGGTTCCTGGCGGTGTGCCTGCTGACTGGTAGTGCAGGCTTATGGGAGGTGGTTTCAATCAACCCCGCGTAGGCCGTAACAATGATGAAGCGCATCCTCCCATCCACCCGGTCAATTTCGTAGTGCCTACACAGCTGAGTGAGCCCGAGAAACGAGTGTATGAGTTTGTCACGCGTCGATTTCTCGCGTGCTGCTCTGAAGATGCCAAGGGTGTGTCGGCGGAACTTGGAATCGAATGGGGCGTGGAGAAGTTCAATGCGAAAGGATTGACAGTCCTGCAACGCAACTATCTCGATGTGTATCCGTACGATAAGTGGGAAAGTAGCCAACAATTGCCACCATTCACGGTGGGAGAGACGTTCATACCGATGGAAGCAAAGATCACAGATGGAAAGACCACGGCGCCTAGCTACTTGACAGAGCCAGAATTGTTGTCACTCATGGACGCCAACGGTATAGGAACGGACGCGACGATGCATGAGCATGTCGAGAAAATCAAAGATCGCAATTATGTCATGACGCGCAGTATTGGCGGCAGTAGAGCTCCTGCAGCCGTAGCTGAGAGTGCCGAGACTACCCGCGGTGGACGCGGCGGCAGAGGGCGAGGGCGAGGCGGACGCGGAGGAGCCGCAGCTACGGCACGTGGAGGTAGTGGTATGCTGGAATTCATTCCAACCACGTTGGGCGTCGCCCTAATTGAGGGGTACGACCAAGTTGGGTTCGAGACAAGCCTGGGAAAGCCTCATCTACGGAAAGAAGTGCGTAAACGTATTCCCAGCCTGGCGACGAGGACGTACTGACTAGTACATACAGATGGAACTGCAAATGAAGGCAATTTGTGCGGGCACGAAGACAAAGTACGAGGTGGTGCAGCAGAATCTTGACCAATATCGGAATGTGTACAGCAGGTCGGTCCAGCAGATTGACGTCCTCAAGACCGTGAGTGGCTCAAGCGACGACTCCTATTGGACTGGATGTAGAAGCTGACTAGAACCCCGTTGACGACAGGCGATACGCAAATACGTGCTACAGCAGAACGTGGGCTGAACTATGGTCCACTATACTCGACAAAAGCTCCGAGAAGCTTCCATTCCGTTTCATCGACGCATATGAGTTACGTCAAGCGATGAACAAGACGAGAGCGGGCGTTTGACGAGAGACGCATGATGGAAGCAGTAGCTCTTGGCGAGGTAGTACGGCAGAGGCGCGGCTCGCGACGGATGGCCTTGGTCCGCCCTCCCCCAGTACTGCGAACCACGTGTCTGGAGAAAGAGGGGACCAGCGTGGCGCAAGGGCAGCGATGATTATGATGATGATGATGATGGAAAGATCCAAGGTTCTAGTGAAGGGGTCCAACTCTGGTTAAAGGGTTCCTGAATTGCGCTCATGTCAGCAGATATGATTGATAAGAACCGCCAGGGTTAATGGCGCATGTTTCACCAGCAGCACCACAACAAGCCGACGTCGGCGTATAAGCAACGCAAGGGAATGCGAACGGTAGATGATTAGAAGTCCCGAATGGTGTTGCGTCGAAACATGAGGGGGGGTCACTGCATTGGCATGGCTTTGCGGCATGTATATGGCTGCGAATAGGGCCGAGGTGTGTGTGTGCCGGTGTATCAGACAGAAAGCGGCGATGGAGAATATAATGCCGAATCGTGGAGTGGCGCCGAGGGCGTGTCGAAACGGGTTGGCTGGGATGGAGAGATATGATATTATCAAAGAGATAAGTGATGGGACGGTCGGTATATGGTGTTGACCCACGGGCAAACCCGGATCAAAGATATCAAGATTTTGGGGGGGGCTGCATTCATTGCGTAAGGCAGCAATAGCGCGCAAATACACAGAAGACCACTCTGTAGTCGGGGTCTCAGGTTTGTCACAGCCACTAATTAGTTGATAGTACAACTACCTAATAATACCTGCAGCTGACATTCCGATGGCGAGCAAGATGGCAGATGACGAGAATAGTGATGACTGTCCGTGCGTGCTGGCTTGCTAAATTAGCCGGGGTTGTTGTATGAATGAATGAATGCGGGTATAATTAGTGGAGTCTGGACATGACAAAGGGTACTCTTTGTTACTAACAAGTTCAGAACGACGACGACGACGCCGCAGAACGCCGGGTCCGAATGGCAGGTTGAGGTCATCTGCGCGGCATGCTCACGAGTGATTACGCACCCTCTTGGTTAGTTTACTGCTTACCTTGGTTCTGAGGATTAGTAGTAGTAGTAGTAGTAGTAGTAGTAGTAGTAGTAGTAGTAGTAGTAGTAGTAGTAGTAGTAGTAGTAGTAGTAGTAGTAGTAGTAGTAGTA